CTTATATCCAAATTATAAGTGACCGTTTCAAGTCATGGCTATCCCATGAAAACAAACCATCAGTGGGTTAGTCGACGTCCGGGACGGACAATAGAATTCTACACAATGCTTTAATAAGTTGAGTCAACCCACAGAGGTGTAATCTTTCTAATATTAAAAGCGATGCATTCTGGTGCAATCAACCATAACGTATAAAGAAGGAAATACAGTAATGCAGTTACTTCTCAAAGCAAAACGTGTATCTCTACCCTGACGATAAAATACAAACGTAGAATTTAATTATTATGGTTGGGAACTGTTCTTTGATTGCTGTAGATTTTAACTGTACTATTCAACTAAGTTTAACTGAGGGGCCAAAATCTTGAAAGCTGAGATTGTCACGGGCCAGAGGACTGAGCCCCAGCACAGAAAGATCATTAATACCGCACAAATGGTAATGATGCCCGGGCCACGATAGGTCCCCACAGGCCAGAGTTACCCCGAGGGCCGCCAGTTGAGTAACCCTTTTGTAGAAGGGGAAAGTAAACGGAAAATGTCCAAAATCAGTTGTAGTCGTCGTCTTCGTCATTGTAGTAGACACAGGCGCCGGAAGATAGGGGCTCACTTCTTTTAAGGTCTCCCTCCCCAATAATAAGTGTAAGTTTGTTTATTAAAGCCAGCTTTTTTAAAATATCGATTCAGCCACTTCAGGTAACTTTGAAATATGGAGCGTTTATGTGAATATCACGAGTGCTGTCATGTCAGTTCTTAGATCAAAACTGAACAAAATAATAAACTTATGTGTGTTATCATCCATTTTCGTCCTTATTAGGACGAAATTTTTTGTCATTTGAAGCCCTACCCTGGCTTTTGCCAGGGGCCGCAATATAGGCAGGCCATACATATGGCCAAATGTCTGAACGCGGTTTCTGGGACCTCTCCACGGCGATCCTCATCCGCATGGTGGCACTTTGTGTCATCGGGTGTTTGTCGCTTGTGTGATGTCCTGGTGGGGTAGAAAGTCAGTCAATAATAAACAGCCCGTCTCAAGTAGTCTTTCCTGTCCACGATCATCCTAGCCTAGAACTACATTGCCAGTGCTTGGTGTTACATGTTAACTGTGAAATAATTTCCTGGGCTTCTGGAACAATAGGGGGAATTGGTGGAAAGTTGTTCACATACGTGCTGGAACCTGGAGTCTCAGGTCATGTCAGCCTCCCCCCACCCCCAATTATTTTGTAAGAGACTGAGACCATGTATAGATATTTCTGTTTTTAAAGTTATTGCTTATACATTTGGTCAGTGGCTTCAGTGTTGCGAAAGCTTTTAGTAATGTCAGGGTGCCGGGATTTGATCCCAGCTGTAGGGAATTTTGCATCAGACCGCCTTGTGCTGGTTTCGACAGTGGTATTGGGAGCCGATAGCTGAGATCCAAATGGCAGATCACAGGCGTCCTAACGGCATCATGGGTCCCTGGGCAAACTAGTGTGTTGGAGCCTCTAGGAAAACCACTCAAACAATGAAATGTTATGTTTATTTCTGTGAAGTCACTGGACACACACAGATTGGCATGGGATCCCTATGCTCCAGCGCCACCCCTTACCCTGGGGGGGGGGGGGGGGCAAGAGTCCAGAAGGTCCATGCGTTAAGACGGCCCTGTGGTAGACTACTGAACGTACATTTTCAGAGAAAAAAAAATGAAAAAAAAAAAAAAGTTATGTGGTTGGTTCTGCAATTAACAATTTTTATTTTTACATCTCATATTGTTTCAGCTATTTACTTTCTTTTCATTACATTACTAGCGATGATGATACTAATAATAATGTGTTGAAGGACAAATAAATCAGATCGGAGACCTCCCTCCCCTCTTCCGACCCCACCAAATTATTTGCCTACAAAATGTATAAAGTGGTGAAGATTGCGTGATTTCGGGGTCCCCCAATGTTTTCTTACTTAGTAAGAGGAGGAGGAAAGGGGGGGGGGGGGGGATTAAAGAGGTCTGACCCCCCAACTTCAGCGGGGGGTATATTGCCCCTCAAATTCGTTGCGGAGCGCTCGAGTAGTAGTGGTAATAACGCTCACATAAGTATCCTGTCGAACCCTCCAGGTTTTAACCGGAATATACAATATACACTGTATTTCCAATTTATATTCTTGCTATATCAAACACGCGCACGCACACACACAAGGTACTTGAGCCTCCAGGTTCTGCCACCTGTGACTAGTGATAAGGTACGTGAGCCTCCAGGTTCTGCCACCTGTGACTGGTGATAAGGTACTTGAGCCTACAGGTTTTGTCACCTGGGACTGGTGATAAGGTACTTGAGCCTCCAGGTTCTACCGCTTGTGATTGGTAATAAGGTACTTGAGCCTCCAGGTTCTGCCGCCTGTGACTGATGATAAGGTACGTGAGCCTCCAGGTTCTGCCGCTTGTAACTGGTGATAAGGTACTTGAACCTCCAGGTTCTGCCGCCAGTGACTGGTGATAAGGTACTTGAGAATCCAGGTTCTGCCGCCTGTGACTGATGAAAAGGTACGTGAGCCTCCAGGTTCTGCCGCTTGTAACTGGTGATAAGGTACTTGAACCTCCAGGTTCTGCCGCAGTGACTGGTGATAAGGTACTTGAGAATCCAGGTTCTTTCACCTGTGACTGGTGAAACGGTACTTGAACCTTCAAGTTTTGCCGCCAGTGACTAGTGATAAGGTAATTGAGCCTCCAGGTTCTGCCGCCTGTGGCTGGTGATAGAATTATAACCTCTTCACATGGCCTTCTAAGGCCATTACGATACAGGGACTCCTGTCAGACGGTAGCCGAGATAGGTAGTAGCAGCTGAATAGATCAGCAAGGTCTGTGGGGGAGGGGGAGGCACTCTTGCAGTAGGTTAAAATCATCTTATCCATCGACTCATTTGTGATAGGATACTCACTTTATAATCTCCACCCCCTCCCCCATTTTATTCAATGTTTGTCTATTCATCAAACCATTCAGGCAGGCGCGGAACATAGGGGGAGGGGTGCTAGGAACATTGGCAATCACAGTTGTAGGGGTGGGTTGGGCCCTCTACACAATTCTCTCACCCCTATAAAATGTCTCACTCTCCCCTCCCCCTCCTAAACAATATACAGAATCCACCTTTTGAGTATCTGCTTACAGATTTCATTTTTTTCTTTAAATATATATTTTTTTAAACATTTGTCATTCACCGCACAGTAATATTGTTTGTTTTTATTGTGCAACTGAAACAAGCCTTACACCCATTAAGCCCCCCCCCCCCCCAGACATTTTTTTTAAAGGGGAGAAGGGGCGGAGGCCTAGCCCCCCCCCCCATAGATTCTTTGTATCGGCTCCCTGCAGTCAGGTTCCTAACGTGACCTGTCTTTTAGCCATGGCTGTACGTTCGTCTATCTCCTGATATTATCCTCCCACTATCTTACCTCCTGTCTTCAACTTTTCCCTTCAGCTGTTTTTGAGTGACAGCGTCATGTCCTTTAATGTGATCGAAATATTTAACCTACTGTCTTTTTAAAATTCATATTTAACCTACTGTCTTTTTAAAATTCCCTTTAAGATTTTGGCTTTCATGAATATTAATCTTTTCAGAACCTCTCTGTGCGTTTTGGGGTTTCATTGAAATACAAACCAGTCTGTATATCTGAAGTCTCCAGAGAATCAAGTCGACTTTCTTCTTTGTTACTGAATGATTGCAATGTTTTGTTTTAGGCGGGACATACGTAGAAATAGATGTTGATGGTTGTTAAATATATATCAAACATGGGTTGATGCTCTTGTTGTGAAAACAAAGTCTGGGAAAATTGCTTTTTGTGGGGAAAACAAGAATAGACCCACTGCCTCCACAACAAGTATGTCGTAAGAGTCGACTAATTGGGAGCTTCCTTCGAAGTCGGAGTCCATCTGCCTGAGAGGCAAGTAACCAACAATCTGCATACAATTAAGTCAGATATGTTAAACGGATGTGAGCGTAAACTCAGATTCTGGAACAAGACTAGTTCAGAGGTGGACAAACAACCAGGACTTTCCGTCGGAGTTTATAGGCGGTGAACCCGAAGAAGAAAAAGAAAATCGTTTTTTTTTTTCGGCGAGTTCAACTGTTACTCCAATATAATCTTAAATATTTGTTTTTGATGGTTGAAGGTTTGCGGGGGAGGTGATGGTGTAACACTATTCTTGTAATTTATTTCTGACAATTTGTGCACAGAAAATGTTAGTTCTGTGCAGTGAGAAAGGGAACCGAGAAACTCAAATTTGAAAATTACGAATTTAACAAACTACACCTAAAATATATTTAACAGAATGCAATGAATCGTAGTTAATGCATAAACCGACCAGGCCGGGCATTCCTGTTGCGCGGAATGATCTTCACGGCATTATTTAATATTTACACAGGTGTAGCATAACTCACTAAACCTTCGTTGTTTATTTTAATATGTTCTAACTGAAATTTAACACCCTTCATGACAAATTTGAAATATATTGATTCTTTCTTTGTTGTCTCCCCACAGTATCTTAATAAATGTGTTTGTGTGAGGGAACTCTTTGAGGACTTGTAATGTGCGTGTGTATCTATGTGTGTTTCGTTTGTAATACCTGTTGTGTCCTCCAGCTTCAACTTTCTCATCAACATTCAAAGAGAGATGTAGGCAACAAACCAGTCCCTTGAGCCACGTCAACCGTTGTCACCGGTCTGTTAGAGCATGAACTCGTCTGGGTACATATTAGCATCCTTGGAATATATTCGGCACGAAAGGATGGGATGTTTCGCACTGTAACCCAAACATTTTCATTGATTCGGTGCCGTGTTATACATCGTCTGCAGAGTTCGTCATCATCAGTCTGTTCTTTGTCATCTCTTGTCGGTTCGGCCGTTTTGTGCTGTAGGTTTAGTTTTCGTAATCGTTTCCAATGTAGACATCCGTTTGATTGTGTTCCGATGTGTGCCGTTCACTTGTAAATTGGATATTTCTACGAACTCCATTCAAGGGAGTGTCTCATGTCTGCAAATATGGCGTCCAAATGTACCAAGTTTCTTCCGAACATTTTCAACAAAAGTAAATGCCAGCACTGTTTTGCGGCCAAAGAAGCTCATACTGCAGAAGCACTTGAAAACAATAAGGTAGTTAACTTAAAATTGTGTTTTAATTGCATTTTGTTTCTTGGTTAGGTTGCTGTAACTGTGAATTAAAAGTTGCAGACAATAATATTTATATTCATTTAATTTTAATTTAAATAAAAAGAAAAACATCGCCAGCTGGTACTCGAGTATTTATTATATTTATACATATGGTAACATAATTAAACTTAAATACAGAAAAAGCTGGAAGATAAACATTGAAATTAATTATAAACATTTAAACACCAACAAATAACTTCAAAATGTTTTATTATTATATTGGGACTGGTAAAATAATAAATAAGGTACAAAACAGTAAATTGATTTAGTATTTAGTAAATGCTCAGGCCTGAACCCTAATTTGAGGTCTACCTACTTTTTGTCATTACAAATCCTGGTGCTGTCTTCATTGCCATTGCTTAATCTGAGCTAACTTACCTTAACCTTAGCAATAAAAGTAGCAGTAGACTACACTGTGTTTGAATGGCCATTACATGTATTTGATCTATAATTTAAATAGTAAACAAATATTTTTCACAGTTAAAAAAAATATTATATATTATATTAAATATTTTTGAGTCTGTATTCGAAGGATAGCCTATAACTCTTTAAACATTAACTAGTTCTCACTATAAAATAACTCTTTAAACATTAACTAGTTCTCACTATAAAATAACTCTTTAAACATTAACTAGTTCTCACTATAAAATAACTCTTTAAACATTAACTAGTTCTCACTATAAAATAACTCTTTAAACATTAACTAGTTCTCACTATAAAATAACTCTTTAAACATTAACTAGTTCTCACTATAATAACTAACAAACTCTGTTAGTCTATTCTTCTGAGGAAACCAAATCTTTTAAACTTGTTAATAAAGTAAGGCTGGTGTTTCTTTCAAGCTGTGCTGGAATGTTGCCCACATGCATAATTGCTCGTTAGTACATTGCCAGTCTGAACATTCACAGGGGACAGACAAGGATAGTGAGAATATGCAAGTAAAATCAAAAATTAAATGTCTGATTAAAAGTATAACATCATAAACTGTGCAATAATACAGACAAATTGGGGAAAGGGGGTTGGGGGGGGGGGGGTTGAAAGAGGCATGTAGGATCATGTTTGCTGTCAATTGTAACAGTTTTGCTCATAACAATACACAATTTAGTTTTTACACATGGTACAGATTTTTCTTTTCCTCTTTTTGCACCAGCTTCAGCCTGTAATCACTCAATCAGTCCTTTACACTCAGGCCAGGTTTACCTATCATTTTCTGCCTCTTGTAGTTTCAAAGGTTTGAGATAGCTCTCATTTTTAAATATTCTTCTTCTGATGTGCCTCCCCCCCCCCCCCACCCCATCTTTCCCCAACCTGTATTGTTGCACAGTTTTATGATGTTATACCTTTAATCAGAGTTTTAGTGTCATTTATTTTTTGATTTCACTTGCATTTTCTCACTGTCCTTGTCTTTCCCCAGTGAATGTTCAGACTGGCTTTTGTAGTCTGGGAAGTATTTTCTTATTAATTATCAAGTGCTCTCAGTTTACCTTGCATCTGAATTTGGACGTGAAATAGAATGTCCGGGTTAACTGCTAAATATAGGCCATCAGGTTGATCTGTAACTCCTTTAAATTTCATTTCTGTGTGTAGCGATTGTTGAACTAAGTAGATGCAATTAAATGGTTGAAAATATCACTGACGAGCTTGAGAGTGAATTAAATACATTCCAGTGAATTTAGAGATGAGGAGAAGATGCTGACGTTGGATAGGACACGAGCAAATAAATAGAATGTCCTTGCATTGGAACCCACAGAACCAAAGAAATACACCACACCAAAAACACATAAAGAAAAGAAATACTTTGAGACAGAAGAAACATGGTGAAGAGGGCATGGGTTGAGCTGCACTCACTTTTACAGTATAGGAGGTTGTGGTATGAGTTGAAAAATGAGCCTACACATTTGATAATAGATTTTTCAAGTGGCAAGTGCGTATCTGAGAAGTAATATCAGCTAACAGTGGACACCTAGAGGTACTTTATTGCTAAAATAAACAAGGTCTGATTTCTTTTGGATGCCCACAAATATAAAATGATTGGCATCTTCAGAATTTCGGACTTACTGCTGTTGAATACTAATAGAAGATTTAATTTTGCTGTATGACAACTTTGAAATGTCTCTTTACAAGTTTTGGAATGACAAATAAAGAACAAACATCTGTTTTTTAAAAAATTGTGCACATTTTTTAGGTAATTGCAACAACAAAATAAAAAAATCTACAGTTTAACTAGGTATTAATAGCTTGCACAAAGTTAATTTTTATTTCTTTGTTTAATATAAATATACTTTGTTGCAGATATTGAATGTACGCTTTTATATTATTCACTGTAATTATTAAATACAAGATTCTGAAGATGCATCTGTGATGAAAGCACCCATTGCAGGAGAATTAGCTAGAGAAAGAAAGATTTTCAGACATGCCACGAGAGAGCGATGTTCTGCAAAGGACCTGCTGATTGATAATGATGATTAATTTTAAGAAGACGAGAAACATCGTACTTACCTTTATCTATATTGCTTCATTTAAAGTTTAAATCTACTTTAAACCTCTTTCCCCAAAAGATTAGTGACAAGAATTGATATGTATATTATTGTGTGGCACACTGCAGTGACGAGGTTAGTCAGTATATTTAATTTCCAGTTGTTTATGACCAGCTCTGGCTACTTACTTGTAACTATTGTGTTTGCTAAAAGGATATCACACTCTTGATGTTTTCAGGCATCTAGAAAAGTTTCCAAATGTGGCTACTTATTTATATCACCTGGATATGACTTCAGTAACCCGGTAGATCGGACAAGGGTGAGTTGCAACTGAAATGTTATTTGTCTGTTTTAGGCTTTGCAACCATATGCTACTGTTTGCTAGTTTCTGTATTTGTTCAGCCTAATTGAATATTGTCTCCCTGTGCAGTTCCAGGTGCCCCATTTTGTGGAGTTGGTGGAGGGGGGGGGGGGGGGGGGGGTTTAGAAAAGACCCACAAGCATGTCGTAAAAGTTGACTAATTAGGGGTTTGCTGAAATCAGTTGTGTTAGGGTCAAAAGACACCGATATCGCAGCCTAGCTGTAAATTGCAGCACATCGTCACAACAGTAATTTTTTTTTAGATGAACCCTGTAGAAAAAGCATGTTATCTTGAGAGATTAGTTCTAAGAGAGTGATAGTGAAAACAAAATAAAATCCTGTCTCTTAATTGTTACATAGCGAAAATTCTACATAATTGATGTGATTTCTTTTTAGTCTAAAATGTTGTTAACTATAGAGCCAGGGTATTATATGTTTAATTTTTTTCTGTATTTTTCTTGGTTGATTGTAATTTGTGATGTCATCCAGTTTTTTCTGTGTTCATTATTATTATTTAAAAACAAAAAGTTTCCAGATAAATTTTGGTCTTCACTTTGACTTTTGAAAGACAATATTGACTGTTCTAAATCTCTTTGCACTATTTGAGAGAAAAAACCATGCCCTGTGCACATCTAGAATTGGATTTTTATGTCATAGATGGATCAAAATGATGAAAGTTTTCATAATCTCAAAAATTGTTCTCTACATTTTCTGCATATATGTCGAAAAGGTTTTCAGAGAGAATGCCACTTTGTCTTACTCCCCTGTGCATCTCAAATCAGTTTGATTTTTCACTTGCCACTGTTAACAGCTGCTTGTTGTTAATGTTTCATTAAAGTGGATTTTATGTGCTGTAAACCCATAATCATAATGTTTTACAATTTTTATTTTTAACAGCCAAAAACCTTTCTGTGCTTTATGAAATAAGTATAAATATCTGCATTGTACTCTTTATTTCTTAAAAAAGAAGGTTCTTATGCTGAAGATATACTTCCTGGTGGCTCTGTCTGAAATCTGCCTATACTTCTTGTAATTTATATTCTAGTTAACTTGAAATCCTCTTTATGGTGTTTCATCTGAGGATTTTGCTAGCATGATTTGTTGAAAGCAGAATGGTTGGTGCACAATTTTACAATCACTCTCTTTGGCAAAGGGATTGTCCACCTGCATGCTTTGGGCTAAATAGCACTGTTCCAGATCTGTGCACATAGATCTTTGAGGATGTAGAGGCTAGCTTCTGCTCCTGTCTGGATTAGTTCTGCTGAGTTATTGTCATACTTTGGTGACTTCTCTTTATTCAGGCTTTGTATTTGTGATTGTGTTTCTAATAAGGGTTCTGGTTCATTTTCTCCACTTTTAGGTTTGTTATCTGGATTATTTGTCACATTTATCCTCAGCATTCCTTCTTTTTCAAATATATCTATTCTTTCTGCTTATGTAACACTGCCTTTATCTTTATTACATGTAATGGTGGTCTCAGTGGGCTGGTAATATTCAGATTTCATTAAAACTTATGTTTATCTTTTCCTTGTTCTGTTCTCTAACAATGTCTTACCTTCTCTGATTATACTTATTATTTTCTCATGTAGTTTATGTTTAAAGGACTTTTTATTTCTGATTTCATTTGTTCGCACATTTATTCAGCCCAGACTTTATTTTCGGGTTTTAAGAATTTATATTTGCGCTATTTCCTGTATTAATTCCCATGTCTCCACTATTTTCTTGTATCCATTTTAGGCATAATCCTTCTCTGTTGTGTTGGTAGCTCATCACAGGGATTGAAGAGAGACTGTTGGCACCTTACCACCTTTCCTGATAATAGTTTCAAATTGTGCTATATGGAGGTATGGGAATCACAGCCCCTGGCAATAGCAAGTGTGACCAGCAAGACCAGCTATCATTAAAAGTCTTCCATAGTAAGAGCATGGGATTGCAGGACCTTTGTTGTCATTATATGTATTCATCATGGTCTTCTCAGATGCTCAATTCTCAACCTGTTTGCAATCCTTCTCTCCTTTATCCCTGTTCCCCTTCTGATTTACTCCCTCTCTGCATCATGATCCATGGTTTCATGTTCCAACAAATCCACTTAGGCATTCTTGTCCCTCTTGCAGACATATTTATATTGTAGTAGATGCTGACCTCGATGTCTACCACCCATCTGTAATTCACTATAGTGGATGTCCTTGGGTACTGTACCATCCTCCAAGTGTCCTGTTGGGAGCAGAATAAAATCCTAACCTGTCGAGTCCATGATGACTGTTCTAGCCATGCGGCCCTAAATCTCACACTAAAATACCCTCCCCCCCCCCCATCCATCTCCGCCTACATGACAAAAGTTATCCCTCACTTCAGAAGTGGTAAATACAGGCAGTAGTGGCAGTTTTTGTGGGGGGGGGGGGGGGGGTGCTAATGATCAAAATACAAACATGTGTGCTGTTTTGATTTCTTCAGAGATGGCAAAGAAGATTCTTCAGGCTGTATGATGATGGTGAGCTTTCATATAGTGTGGATGAAAATGTAAGTACACGGATTAACGCTAAATGTATCTGGTATTTCTTTGCAGGGGTATCAGTAATTAATTACTAATGTAAACTACGAGGGGAAGTAAAACAAATAAGTCCCAAATGGTTATGGAATGGCAGCATAATGTAGTTGGTGGTTTCTAAAGGTGTCATTAGGTGACAGCAATATCAAACTTTATGTCTACGTTCATTAGTTGATGCTAGGTGGTGCTTGCGGATGTGCAACACAGAAACAAAATGTCCACTGCACTTACAGAGTGTACCCTTAAAGAACAACGTGCTGTTGTGCGTTTTGGGGGGGGGGGGTGAAAGGGCTGCCTGCAAAGGACATTTATAAGGGATGCTTCCTGTTTATGCTGACAAATGTTTATTCTGTAAAGTGGTGCATAGCTGGGTAAAGAATTTTTCTGAAGGACACTCTAAGATTGTTGATAAAGTCTGATCTAATCGTCCTGTTGAGATTGCAACAGAGGCATTCATGCAGTGGGCGAAGGAGATGATTATAGGTGACAGACAAGTAACAGTTGAGTCAGACCTGTGAAACGCATGTACACGCAACACTCAGGTTCTGGAACAGGACTGGAGTCCAGAAGTGGATGAACAACCAAAACTTTCCGCCGGAGTTTGCAGCCAGTAAACGCAAAGTTGAAGAAGAAAAAGAAGAATGTGAAGTGAAAATGTGGTTTAGAAAACAGCATGCAGTTGCATCCAGCAGGTTTGGGAGGACTGATAAAGTGATGGGACAAGTGCATCAATGTTGGTGGAAATTATGTTGAAAAATAAAGGGACAGTGTGTGTGTAAAAATTAACGGTTTTCAAGTTGTTATCATCTTTATATTTTTTGTTAACAACCATTTGTGACTTACCCTCATAGTTTTTTTTTTTCAATTTTTATCCAGTATTTTCTTCTTTAGGTCTGCATGCAAAAGCTCAACTGTTTGAGAAAACAGCTTTTGAAATGTAGCTACTTTAAATTAGAATAACATCTTTTAATGAAATAATCATATGTATGTTCGACGGATTGGAGTATCAGCCCCATATGACCTATAATGGCACAACAGGACAATGATGATGATGATGAACAGTTCTTATGTTTTCACATTGGTAAACTTCAGGTTGATTGTTTGAAATTGTTAGAGAACAAAGTCTGTGATTTAGGATGTCTTCTGATGTGTAGTATATGTAACATAATAAGACAGATTTATGGTGATGATGATGATGAACAGTTCTTATGTTTTCTCATTGGTAAACTTCAGGTTGATTGTTTGAAATTGTTAGAGAACAAAGTCTGTGATTTAGGATGTCTTCTGATGTGTAGTATATGTAACATAATAAGACAAATTTATGGTGATGATGATGATGAACAGTTCTTATGTTTTCTCATTGGTAAACTTCAGGTTGATTGTTTGAAATTGTTAGAGAACAAAGTCTGTGATTTAGGATGTCTTCTGATGTGTAGTATATGTAACATAATAAGACAAATTTATGGTGATGATGATGATGAACAGTTCTTATGTTTTCTCATTGGTAAACTTCAGGTTGATTGTTTGAAATTGTTAGAGAACAAAGTCTGTGATTTAGGATGTCTTCTGATGTGTAGTATATGTAACATAATAAGACAAATTTATGGTGATGATGATGATGAACAGTTCTTATGTTTTCTCATTGGTAAACTTCAGGTTGATTGTTTGAAATTGTTAGAGAACAAAGTCTGTGATTTAGGATGTCTTCTGATGTGTAGTATATGTAACATAATAAGACAAATTTATGGTGATGATGATGATGAACAGTTCTTATGTTTTCTCATTGGTAAACTTCAGGTTGATTGTTTGAAATTGTTAGAGAACAAAGTCTGTGATTTAGGATGTCTTCTGATGTGTAGTATATGTAACATAATAAGACAAATTTATGGTGAAAATGATATATTTAGCTAGCCTTAATTTAATGTTGCAGTGTGCAACTTGTTGTTTCCTGTTTTTCAAGTGTAGAATGAGAAAAACAAAGGGTTATCTCCACAGTTGTTTCTTTTCTTGTTTCTTGTTTTTGTATCTTCTCTTTTCCTTGTTGCTATCAGAAATTGTGTGTCGGATAAATTATGATTTTATCGCATGTGTAAATAGATATTTATTCTGTGTAGTTCACGTAAATATGCATGTACTTCAGCTGTTAATGGGTGTGAATCTGTGTTGTATTTTCAGCCAGACACTGTTCCACAAGGGGTTGTAGATATGAATAAATGTACAGATGTTCAGGATGCAGAAGCCGTTACTTCACATCAGTTTTCTTTGTCTGTAACCACCCCAGAAATCACCCTCTATGTCAAGGGCAACTCTAAAGAGGAAATTCAGTGGTAATGCACTTGTATTGTCTCAATAACTTAAGGAAATAGATTTGTGCGTCTGTTCCTGCTGCATTAAACAGGTAGGTCAAACCTGTTAACAGTTCATCTGTCTGGGCAGGCAAAGCTTGTATAACTTGTTGATATAAAAATACAGCATTTGATGAATTGGGAGGAAAAAGTGAGATAATGAAAATGGAAGAAAGATAAGGGGAGGCTATAAACAAAAAAGGAAAGGGGAAAGAGAGAGATTAAGACACACAGATATACGAAGAGATTGATAGGGGGACAACTGAATTTAAAAAAAAAGGGGGGGGGGGGGGGGGAGAGAGGGTGATAAAATATTTTTCATTTTTGTGTGATAAGATTAATATTATCTTTTTTTAAATAGCAGATTTGAATTATGAGTTGGTTTATCCCCACAGTATTATGTGCATATGTGTTAAGATTCCCCCTCAATATGTAAATCAGCATTTCACAGTTAATTGTGCCAGTTCTGTGCTCTTTCATTGGCAGTCCCCATCTGCAGTAGATGTCCATCTGCAGTGTTGACAGAGTCAGTCTGTCTGCCTTTTCATTGGCAACCCCCATCTGCACACCCTGGGACAAAGATGCAAGTATCTCCTTGCCTAATGGACCTTTGCAGTGACTAAACCCATTGCTCGCATACAGAGCCTGCTTGAACCCACTGGATCATACTCATGGGATCACTGAGTACATACATATGGGAATAATCCAGCAATTCCAGTTGCACGAATACTTGTGTATCGACCATTACCTCTGTCAGGCTGCTAGACTAGTAGCCATGGAGAAGGTATTGCTGAACACCTGGACTATTTCACCTGCAATGTGTGCTGTGAATGATCCTCATATGCATCATTGTCTTGGTACATTGGACCCATCTGTGTAGATCAGCACTTCTACCTCATCTGAATTGTCACTGATTAATGTGTGGACATCTTTTTTGACAGCTACAAGATTCTGCTGATTACAATTATTTTTATGTGCAACAACGTAGAAGATTGTGTTTGCTTTATTTACGTCTATTGCACCTGCCCCTGAAAAGTACATGATAGAACTGAAGCTTCAGCTCTACACTTATCTTCATATATGCACAAGTCGTCCATAAATTGATTATGTGGTGCATAGTCTGAAAATCAAGAAGTTATCTCATAGCTACACAGAGGTGTCTCTTGTGCACCTCCAGAATAATGTATATGGCATCATTTGGCATCTTTTCAGATCTTTGTGTCTGTATAACAGCAGACTGAGGATGGCTAAAGCATACTCAATGGGTTAAACGGCTAGTCCCTGCAACAGAAGCAGTCTCTGCTCAGTGTTGGCAGTTAACATTACCCTCATTGTTGACAAGTCTTTGAGAGCTTTTGTTACCATATGGTCAGAGTTAGGTCTTTGAAGGACAGACTGTGATCAAACCTCAACCTCGGATATATCATCAAAGCTTTGCCGCTGATCTTATTCAGACATGTAAAGTAAAAGGGGTGAATGAAGTAATGTAGATGAACAAATGCTAGATTGTATGTAATACATTATTTCAGATAATTTAGATGAACACCCTTGAATATTACCTCACTGGCAATCTAGAGAATGCATAGTACATACACAGTTAATTTATATTCCAAGTGCCAGAATGTGAATGTACATTTCTTTTTCCACAGGTGGCAGGATATACTAGGAGAGTTTCCCAAAGCTCTGAAAGCCATTAGACCAAGAAGAAAGCAACCTTTCCTTATTCTCAGTAGCAAAGAGAATCAGGTACCAGTCTGTTTTGTTTGTTTCCAGTATACTGTAATGTGATTTGTTTAGTAATGTCAGCAGCAGAATGTATGCAACAGTTCTATCATGTGCACATTACAGAGGTGAGGTTAAACAACATTGACATCTAACACTGATTATTGTCAGTTTGTGTGCTTGTCTGCCAGCAAAGTGGTCTAGATTTAAATAACCCGGAGGTGGCAGGAATTTTTCCCCTATACAGAGCTCTGCTGTTGACCCAGCCTCATACAGATGGCTTTTAGACAGTTTTCTGGGAGTTGTCTGGGAAGGACAGGCAAAGAGGTAGGGACCTGACCACTCCATTTCACTTGTCTTGGGAAAGAATATGTGGGGCCTAACACATAATTTGCTCCTGGACTGCCTTGACTAATAAATTGGGAACTTGTTGAAATCAGCAGTTCTACACAGTCCAAGTGTTGTAGCTAATACTGTGTGCTTTAGTTTAAGCATGCTCATAAGGCTACAACATCTAGGAAATCTTATCAAAGCAAACCTTAATATGTAGAGACGTGTTTTAACTTGGCATTCTATGGTAGCTATGTTGATAAATCAGCAAGGTTGTGTATGCAGAATGGTTTCAGATTACTTTTAACTTTTTTTAAAATAACTTTTTAATAATGAAAATGCTTTAGTTTTTGTGACTATAGCTATAAACATTACAGTTAACCTTGTTAACAAGAATTTGCTTAAAAAGAACACTTGGTTAACATGAACAGAATTTTGGTCTCAGCAGTGATGTATTATTGTTAGTCCTTGGTAGTACACATTTTTGTAGTCTTGATTTGTTTGTCCCTTAGAATTCATGTTAATGAGGTTGTTATGTATCAGCTTCTGCATGTAGATGTGAAATGGATTGATATATTCCTCACAAAAATACACTGACCCTAGATCAGATGATTTTTTTTAAAGTTTTTTTTTCCTGTTCTTGGTTCTTAAATAGCATACATATATTGTAACCTTCTTTTGCCCTTGAAAGGACAGTTATCATGCTGTGTTATTGTGTACAGCTAGACTGCGATATCCACACCTTTTAGCCACACACATTTGATTTCCGAAAACTTTTATTTATTCACCTTTTATGACATGCTTATAAAGAGGTAGTGTGTCTCCCCCCAACCACCAGTATGGTGCGGGCATACACAGTCTGACAGATGATTGCAGCAGCAATCAGTTTTCTTTGTCTGTAACCCCTTCAGAAATCACTCTCTATGTCAAGGGCAACTCTAAAGAGGAAATTCAGTGGTAATGCACTTGTATTGTCTCAATAACTTTTTTAAAATTGTCCTTCATGTCAGTTTTTCCTATTAAATATTTCTTGGTTTCATTTTGACCCCAGTTTAATACAAGCTCTTTTCTCTTGTCCTTTGAGTTTTCCAGTCACAGTTTATGTTGATAAAGATTTTGGTTAACCATTTGGTTGGTTGTAGACAGTGAAGTTCATACAATAGACAGCATTGTCGATATAGATAGTTTATTTCAAAGTGAACGCAAAAAGAAGAATTTGGTTGTATTTGTGCATGTCTATTACAGCACGCTCAGCGGGCAGAACAGTCAAAGAAGCCAACGGTGCCTTCTCCATGACAACCAGCAGCATGACGATGGAGGTGATGGCAGTGACGCAAGCGTTTGCCTGGCTTGAAACACAAAAATACACCCGCATATGTATACTCAGTGATTCAATGAGTATGATCCGGAGGGTTCAGGCAGGTTCAGTGCGAAGACAATGGCTTGAATCATTACAGAAGTCCACTGTGCGTGGAGTCACCTTTATTTTTGTTCCGGGACACGCAGGCGTCGATGGAAATGAAAGAGCTGACAGGTTGGCTGGATCCGCTATCACTACCGACGGGCAGCCTATGGATCATGCTGATATTATCAATGCCCTCAGAGAAATGGGAAGGATAGAGGACTTAGGTGGCAGTGAATCCACATCACTCGCCAGAATGGCAGACTTGGGAATTAAGATCGGCACAGCAAAAAACGAGACGCACACCAGCTACGCCAGAAGACTTGTTAATCAACATAGAACTGGTACTATTAGCCATCGGACGTTGGGGTTCATACTGAGGGGAGGATCTGAGCACCTATGGACATGTCCGGAGTGCAATGACGATAACCCAACTAACTAACTAACTAACTAATGTCTATTCTGTTCCCTCCATTGAACTTTCTGGTCATATTTTATGTTGTATTTAGTATTTTCAATACCATCAAGTTTGGTAAGTAAGAAAACCAAATACTAATACCCCATAGACCCAGGTCACTTTTATAGCGCCATCACATTCCCCATGGAAGTTTCTAGTACCCTACTGCCCCCTAACAAGATAAAATCCACATTAAACATCAGCAAATATTTTCTGATTTAGCATTATTTTGACAATATTTATTTCAGTGTTTTAATATTTTTTTTTCTCAACTTCAGAATGGAGACAATGAGTTGACATTGGACATGCTAGATGCCAAACAAGCAAAATTTGATAGTCGAAGTCGGATTGATGCTCCAGCTTTTGCCACCTTCAGAGGCGTACGCAGTCTTAAGCATAAATATGATTCACATTATCAAGATGGACTTCGAAAGAGCAGCAGTCTTCATGACCTATCAACTGAAGAAAAGGTGACTGTTGGGCTTGAATCCTCAAGATTTTTAAGTAGGTCTGGAGATAGGCTAGACTCATTCACCAGAAGCAACACCATGTCTCTGTCAGAAATTAGCCCAGATAATCTACTCTCAGGCATACCTGCTAATTCCCCTTTCAGCATCCCTCACAGCACGTGGACTCGCACTGGTCAGCCAATCCCTCAGGCATTCCTTTCTCCCAAAAAGCGCTTGTCTTCCTTACCCTCTGCATTCACAGCTTCTTTGGCTACCTCAGGAAGCCCTTCAAGGTCTTCTGATAACCCAAGCAGCAGAGAACTGTCCTCCAGCCTCAAAGATTTCTCTACTACCTTCAGTCTGCCCAGTGAGAATGATGGTGAGAACATGAACCAGCCTGGGCTGAATGCTGAGGAGACAGAGGGTAATGAAACGGATGAACTGAAGGTGAGTTGCATTATTGAAGCATTGGGTGAAATATTAACACAATCTTGTGATAATAATCTTGGCATGGTCACAGTGTTCTGTCATAGCATGAGTGTTTTACAAATTATTGAGTGAAGAGTGTAAAATGTATTGGTGAAGCTAAGTTTTAAACAGACAAATGTTTTTAGTGGGAAATCATTCAGAGGCCAGATGTTGTGTTACATTCAGATTTCATGTACAGGAAATACTACTGTTTTCTTTCCACATGAGACTGTTATACACCACTGATAACTGACAGTCTAGACAAGGAGGAACGAACATATATTAATAAACTAAAGATAATAATTACTATATTGAGGGAAAATAATATAACAAAATAGACCATAGGTTAGGGTAATTTTTGAGTATAACCTCACAAATAACTAATGTCTGTATAAGGAGGGGCTTATATGAAAAGGTTCTGTAGAGATAAGTAATGAAATATTGAGGAGATATAGAACACGTGTTGGGGAGCTATTTCTGATTGTCTAAATGGAAATGTTTAGTAGCAACGTTTGTTCTAATGTTTTGTGTAGTTAAGAACAAGCAGTATTGTACACATCTGCCCCTGGCATTGAAGATATCCTGGAAACAAATAATTCTCGATCCAGTGCACGCTGACTGCTACTGGCTATTGTTATGCCGTGAAGACATATGGCATATTTAATGTTGTCAATCAGTTTTTTTCACGGCTGTCCTCTTGTTGTAGCTGATCTTCTGAGATGTAGTGCCTGTGATGGCATTTGAGTAACAAGATGGTCAAACCACTTGATCTGCTGTTTCTTGATGAATCAAGTTAAAGATGTCATTCCCACAATCTGATTCGTATCATTATTCACACGATCAGCTGGTTAGGTTGTGGGCTTTTCTCGGGCATCTCATCTCAAAAGTGGTGATTTTGCGTACATGGGCTTTAGATAGTGTCCATTTTTAGCACTGGTAGCTTTATGTTGGAATGAATAGGCTGATAAAATGTGTCTTTTCTACCCAAAGTGTTTCAGGATCCTCGCCGGTGCTAGGAGTTTGTGCACTGGGCTGAGATTCTACTGACTCAGGCTTGTAGAACGGAGCACTTATGGGTTACAACCCTGGTGCCTTGATGTTGATTAGTTGTTTCAACCTAAACCTAATTAGCAGCAGATACATATTAAAATATGATTACAAAAAGCCAGAGCGACTACCAGGAAACGCAGAAGTTAAAAGACATGAAATCTAGGATCAAACTTAAAATATTTAATTGTAACATCACTTCAGCCTTTTGACATCTTGAATCCTGTGCAGATTCTTGTGATATTTGTTTGGCTCTTCATTGCTGTATAGTTTGTTAGCATTAGTGAAAACTGCAGTGTTACCTCACATCTGTGGTATTGAATTGTTTGTCAAGACTAACAGGTTGACTTTACATGTTGATATTGCTAACAAACACAGGCTCTTCCGCCTTTTCTCTTACCTCCTTGCTTGTCAACCTCCCCCCCCCCCCCCCCCCCCTTACCCCCTCTAACTAATTTGCTCGCTGACTCCTTCCATATAAATATATAAATTCGCAAAGGACTTGAAGATAAACACACTTTTGAGTTCTTCATCTCTTGAATTTATTTCATCTTTTTGCTGTAAATTGATTGTATGTGTTTTCCTTTCACCACATAGCATGCTTTTTCTAGCCTGAATAGCATTTGTATGAATTCAAAACCATATAAAGATATGTTTATGAGAGCGAGTATGTATACTTGCATGCATGCACACATCTGCTAAAACTAAATTCACCGTCACATTTACGATTCTATGCTTTTGGTAATTAATTTTTATTAATATTCCTTCTTTGAATCATTCACACATAAAGACATTTTTTTTTTGGGTAATAAATAAGTCCAGTGTACTTTAATTTTATGACTGGAAAAGTGTTAAGATTCACTAAATATATTTTCACTTAACAGACATTTACTTTGTCTTTCACTTTGAACTTTTTACAATACAAATGTGCCATAATTACTGCATATGTTACATAGTTTATCTTTGGGAATGCTGCGTTCGTGGCTTAGGCTTTGCAAGTCTGACTTGTAATTCCAACGTATCGTGATCGAAACCCACTGCTGGCTGCGTGGATTTTTATCATTGTATGGGGTGTCACGGGTCGACCAAGCCTAAAATGGGTACCAGGATGTATGTCCTGGGGAAGTAAAGACGGCCGGCGTAATGCTTACCACATTACCCACCTAGTACCGATTGGTCTGTAAAAATATAGGTGCTTTCACCATATGCCCGATGTGCCTAAAGGTGTAAAAAGAGGTCTTTACTTACTTCACTTATCTTTGGAAGTTCTATTATCATAATCATCATGTAGCATGTCCTGTTGCTTTTATCATGGCATGCTGGAAAACCACTTGATCCCATGCCAACTTACCTACCTCATGAATGTTCATGCCTAAGTTGTCCTCAGTATCCTGTATCCCCTGTTACTGTTCCAGATGCTTATGGTCTTTAATGTGGCTGAGCTGTTTCAGTTTCTGAACACTAATACAGTTAATGGGCCAGTCTTCATGTTCAGATCCAGGAGAATGTCAGTATTTTTCAAGATCAATATAGAAAGTGCATGTGTAAAAAGATAGCTTTGTAACACCTGAATGGTAAAAATGTTTAGTCTGTAATAAATTACTGGTAACTACTCTACCAGACTTCCTGCATTAATTAGCTTTTCATGACATTGTCTTGAGAAATAAATGACATTGTGACTCAGGTTTTCATGTATAGGAAAAACTTCACAGCTGTTGGATTTTCATCTTAGTTACACTACGCCTTGGTTTCTATACACAGTCAAAATACCTCAGACCCGTTGATGCAGTTTAGAATTTTCAACGTGAGCAGTGTTATATGTGAAGTGTTTCTAACAGCCGATTAATGATATGCTGGTGATTGAATAAATCAAGTGTCTCATATTTGCAATTTTAGGATTGTGAACTCCGACTTTGGTTGGGTTTCGGGTATTCTACCCAATTACTTTATTTCTTATAGAAACTTGATTGTCATATACTTTGTTTAGTAATGTGCTCCCCTCATCAACAGACCTCACACAAAGAATAAAACAGGTTTAACAAATTATCAGTCTCTTGTCTAATGGTAGTAACTTCTCAACAACTTCATCCTTGTTTAACAAACTATAATTATGTATACTTTATACCAAGTTTGTCACTCTTCAAGAAGGATGTTCACTTCCCAGAAAAAACAAAAATGAATGGCACAATGGCATTTACAGTTGGTTATAGAATTATGCGTTGTTTCATGTCAACTGTAGGGATTCAATTGTTGTTGCTTAACTTGCCCTGCTTTTAGATGGCACGGAATTCGGAACTGACCACTAGTAGAGTTTTTAGTCATTCCTCTACCTCCGCCGCTGCTAACCTCCAGCCTGTGTCCAGCAAACGGCAGGCAAGTATAGCTGTGTAAACATACTCCACAAACTATTACAGCAGCGACTAATGTGGTAGCGGAACTAGCAGCACTGATGTGTGCACATAATAAGCTTTGTAGTTATTGTTAATTCTGGATGCGTTTAACATTGTTCTGTAATCTTTTCATCTTGCTAGTGCTTTTTAAAAAAAATATTGTTTAACTTGTTTTTTTCGTCTAGCTTGTTATCTGTGAGATTGTTAAAGCATTTTTTAGCTTATTTTTTTCTGTTTTTGTATCAGCGCTTGTTACTTGCCATTACTGTTGTCAAGATTGTGATTGTGAGGGTTGCCAGCTGAGTATTGAAATGTTCCATTGAACATTCCAGCTTTTATATATATCTGTAAATACTTCTACTTGCTATGTATTTCATCAGATATATCCATGATCAAACTTTTAATCTGTTGGTAGCGATATATGTAGTCATGAGATCACATGGAGATAGATGTACAAATTTACATAGATTAGAAAACCTCAAAAATATTTTTTGCAGACTAGCATGTATCAGTAAGAAGAATTTCACATTTGGTTACTCTGAAAATTACAAATAATTTTATTTCATATTGATGAAATGGATAAAAATAAAACATGTAGTACATTCAGTGTGTGACTGCTCAGTGATAGAAACAAACCACCTTCAAATATACTACCAGGGTATTGTATGGAATGAACCACCCTATTTTTTTTTAAAGAAATAAATTATTAGTATGCTCTAATGAGTCATGACCCAGAAACATTGTATGTTAGTTGGAAATTAATCAGCACAATTTGAACATATAACTGCATCCAAGCTGAAGATAAATATCTCTAGGAGTTACGTTGTTAAAGAAATGGCTTTTGTGTCTGATTGAAAATGTTGTTTTGCCTAATATTAGAATGGAAATGTTGTATTTCATTTCCATTACTACCTGCTTTTTTTTAACCCAGAGTCATAAGCAAAATTTATGATGGTTTTTCTTAATGAAAAGTAAAATCAGCAGTGTAGACTTCATATGACTTTGCCACCATTGTGTCTTATTTTATCCTGTCATTTCATATTAACTGTTTCTTTTTCTTGTCTTTTCCTCATTTACTGGTTGAATTTTGCAACAAAAGTTGTTTATAGGATGAGGTCACAGATCTCATGCTAACCCTTTTTTATTTACTGTTAAATGACAAACAAATAAAGTTACAGTGTTATCATTCCATACCTTCCTTTTGGATTCTGGTAAAACACTGATGACGGTATATATGTATGGTAGTTGTACCCCACCAGGACATCACACTAAGTGATAAACACCCTGGGACACAAAATGCCACCATGCGGATGAGGATCACCTGGGGAGAGGTCCTGGAAACCTCGTTCAGCCATTATACTGTATTTAGGGCTCCCGGCAAAAGCCAGGGTGGCGCTTCAAATAAAGAAAAATTGCATCCCACATAGGGATGGCTATAATGTGGATCCATACATACTGATGGAGGTTACGGTTTCCTGGAATAAGGAGCAGAGACCAACTTCCATGAAAGCAGATTGACTATGAAGAGAGAGAGAGAGAGAGACTTTCAGGTGTGCCATGAAGAGATTGATGTTCGGCAAAGGAACTGATGATAAAAACACTGCCGGGTCACCAGTTTCATTGTAGTGTATATTTTACCAGTCATTTGTGTGTATCAGCAAAGAGCCTGTTGAAGAATGATAGTGTCCATGTGTTTAGTGTATACACACAACACATGCTCAGATCTGTACACAATCATAAAACAAATGTGCCAATTAAATGTTAACAGTGTTCCATTAATGGTAGATCTAAGACAGGCAACATATTCCTCCTATGTGACATCATGTGAAGTTCACAAATTGGGGAGGGGTGGTCTCTGTGGCGAAGTGGTTAAACTGTTTGCCTCATGCTCTAAGAGTGGTGAGTTTGATTTCAGACTCTGCCCTTCAGTTTGTGAGTGCATGTATTTTAAAGATTATTAGGGATTATTGCTGGAGCTGTAGAGTTCGTATTTGGTGCAACACTCTTGCGGTGGCCAGCCACACTGTGGGGAGAGGTGGAGCCATATAGGATAAAACCTAGCTCTGTGAAGTCGCTCTCCTTAGATTTAAATGCCCTTTAAGTGTTCAAAGTAAAACAGGGCTCTTACACAAGGTTTGTGTATGCTGGTAATGTTTTGTACTAACCGATATACTCATCTCATATATTTAAATGCAAAGTATTAGATCTTAATGTACTCCTGATTTGATTGTTTATAGAAGCTGAATTATTTTTTTTTAGTTTGTTTTGCAAACATGTACAATACTTGCTAAATAACCTTTAAATTATTTTAAATTGTTTGCTCTTTTCCTAACAGTTTTCACAAAATTGAGCTTGTATTATTAGCTTTTCCCCATCATCATGTTTATTCTCTCTTTCACATTCCTCAAGTGATGTTAGTTAAGGCATTTCATGTCTCTGTTTATTCCTGTACCAGTATCAGTGTGACAACTGTTCATGAGTTCAACTTGTTTTGTAGTATTGTGTGCAGACCTGTGTAATACTATCATCGTCAGACTTCTAGCTGATGCTTTTTTGTTATAGAAAATTTAGAGAAAAAATAAACAACTATAATTATAATAGGTATTCAAATTCCACCAGTTCGTAGAAGACATTGAAATAATGTAAGTTATTAATAACGCAGCCTATTATGATTGCAGCTGCTGTCAGACTGCAGTTGTGATACATGATCAAATTATCACAGTTGTAATACATGGTCAGACTATTGCAGTTGTGATACACAATCAAACTATCACAGTTGTAATACATGGTCAGACTATCACAGTTGTAATACATGGTCAGACTATTGCAGTTGTGATACATGATCATCACAGTTGTAATACATGATCAGACTTTTGCAGTTGTGATACATGATCAAACTATCACAGTTGTAATACATGTTCAGACTATAGCAGTTGTGATACATGATCAGACTATCACAGTTGTAATACATGGCCAGACTATTGCAGTTTTGATACATGATCAAACTATCACAGTTATAATACATGGTCAGATTATTGCAGTTGTGATACATGATAAAATTACCACAGTTGTAATACATGGTCAGACTGTTGCAGTTGTGATACATAATCAAACTATCACAGTTGTAATACATGGTCAGACTATTGCAGTTGTGATACATGTTCAAATTACCACAGTTGTAATACATGGTCAGACTATTGCAGTTGTGATACATAATCAAACTATCACAGTTGTATTACATGGTCAGACTATTGCAGTTGTGATACATGTTCAAATTACCACAGTTGTAATACATGGTCAGACTATTGCAATTGTGATACATGTTCAAATTACCACAGTTGTAATACATGGTCAGACTATTGCAGTTGTGATACATAATCAAACTATCACAGTTGTAATACATGGTCAGACTATTGCAGTTGTGATACATGTTCAAATTACCACAGTTGTAATACATGGCCAGACTATTGCAATTGTGATACATGATCAAACTGTTTTACTTGCCATTTTTTAAATGAATCTAACATTAGTATTGTACCAGTTAGTTTTCGATGTTCATTTTTACAACTCTAGTCAGATTTTTTGCTTCTGGTCATGTTCCACTTGACATATAATACTGTGAATATAAACATGTTTTACACTTGCGATATCTGAAGTTGTACTCTTTTTTTTTCGGCAACGCTCTTGTTGGAATATAACATTTATTGTTTAGTGTGGCTAAGAGGTTAGTGAATGCAGGTGACGCGCTCATGATCCTTGAGTACTAGGGTTCGTTCCCTGCGTTAGACTTTAAAACACCGTTATCATGGTTTTCAATAAATGGTATGAGAGGCATGCCGTGGAAGAGATTGGGGCCTCACCATGTAATATTCCTAAAGACAACAGTGGTACACTGTTCCAACCTTCATTGGGGAGATAGCACAGAATAGATACATTCATTTTAGAGATTTCTTTTTCCAGTTTTTCGATTCAGTAGTGCTTGGGATTCATCCCTGTGTTTTTTTCTTGTGCTTCATTCCAAAATCACCATCTAGGTTCTTTTCATTACTTATTCCTTGCTGAGAGTAGCACATGAATAGTTAGAGAATTAACACAGTAGTTGCTAGCAATTCTGTTAAACCATTTTTTGTTGTTGCTATCCTGATGTATTCTAGCTCTTTTTATTTCATATAACTTTCATTATTTTAACATGAAACATCATTTTTTTAATGTTGTTATTGTAGATTTTATTATTGTGCATTCCAATTAATGTTTCTTCTTAATGACTTCAGTTTTATCCTGATCAGTTTTTTTAAGATACTTTTATTTAAAAGAAAAAGAGGCAGTTACCATATATTAATTAGCAACAACAAGAAAAACACCTACATTGAGTGTTGAATGTTGAATTAAGAATCGACATCACAGCATTCGGGACACTCCCATAAGCGCTCCGTCCCCGTCTTCAGTACCAGTAACAGTGTGATTGTATATCTGTCTCGCCTCTTCCCCGAGTTTCGAGCGTCCGCCAGATCCCCTTGTAACTCCTCGCAATGCCATTCTCCTCAGACCGTAATGATCTGTCTGTTCCTCGGCACTGTTCACTCGCTCCCAAAGGGCCCTCACAACATCCAGCTTGTCATATATCTGTTTACCACGAAGGGGTGCAGAACCGGCCAGTCTATCCGTCTGCTCATTTCCCAACACACCGGCGTGACATGGAGAAAATATCCAAAGGATGCCAACTACCCAGGACCTCTGAAGTGATACTTGCCACTCTGCACGGAGCATGCCTGTCTCCACCTTTCTCAGCATGCTCTGTGAGTCAGTTACAATGGCGACATGGGTGTACAGCTGATTCTCAAGCCAACGGAAAGCAGCAGTGACTGCCTCCACCTCCATTCTCAAACTAGACGCTGTGATATCATTTGGCAGGCTTTGCTGCGCCAAGCGACGTCCATTCGCCTTCGCTATGAACCCCCATGCACTTCGTCTGCCCCTCACCACAGAGCCATCTGTATATACAATCACATCACTTGGGCGGAAATTGTCATGAATCATTTGTTGAACTTCTGATTCTGCAGCACCAACTGGCCAGTCCCTGCACTCACGTCCCAAAGTGATTAGAACACCTACATTTTGTGTTAAAAACTGTTTAATGGACGAAGTGAGAACTGTGATTTAGTTTTCATCATTAGACAGCTTCACTTCTAAGCAAACTGGAGTGACATAATTTGTTGTATTATAGGAACTGCCATGCCGGAAAACAACAATCAGATTTAGATTTCAAAAAAATTCAGACTGAAACAAAATTATTGAATTCATTTTATTTCTGTTAATTCTTTTAGTCATCTTGTTTTTTAACAAGTAACCTTTTTATGAAACTGTTTTGTTATAATAGTTTTAATATTTGTTGTACTTTTAAATGTCATTAAAGTTTGATAGGTATGTAATTATGTACAGCAGATATACATAGAGAAAGTGTACAGCAAATATACATAGAGAAAGTGTGCAGCAGATATACATAGAGAAAGTGTACAGCAAACATACATAGAGAAAGTGTACAGCAAATATACATAGAGAAAGTGTACAGCAAATATACATAGAGAAAGTGTACAGCAAATATACATAGAGAAAGTGTACAGCAGATATACATAGAGAAAGTGTACAGCAAATATACATAGAGAAAGTGTACAGCAAATATACATAGAGAAAGTGTACAGCAAATATACATAGAGAAAGTGAGGTTTTGATTTGATTAAATAGTCTAATGAGAAATAAACAATAACATTTATTAAACTAATTCTGCAGTATCAATAAGCTACAGGGATAGCCAAACAACATAGAGCAGGGTATTAATGATACCATTTCTACTGGCCTAATCTGACCAGTTCATCTGTATTTAAATCTGGTTACAGAAAATATTTGTTGCATCATTACATTAGCGAGATAGTTGTTCAAAGAATTTATAATTTAAAATTAAAAAAAAAATATCTTTGTAAATAATAGCTGTATTGGCTGCTGATGGTCCTAGGTTCAAATGTGCCGTGAGACAGGTTTTTTTTTGTGACGACCCAGCTCAGGGGCCATGGCGTGAAGGTAAAGCAGCTGGTGTGATATTGCCACATTACCAGTCAAGTGTCTTTCAACCTTGTGCCCAGAGAAGGCTACATTTATTCTCTTCTGGATGTTACACAGCGTTGTAAATACCGATATATTGCCATTTTTGCACAGACTTGTTCTAAAAAAAAACATAGTTAAAAGCCATTCTGTGTGCACCTGCATAGTGTTTAGGAGGCCCAGATGTGAATATATTAACTAGTTAGAGAAAAAGACAGGTAAACATTACTGTGACATACAGTGGAAGAAGATTGTGTCTTAAGGAGAATAAAACTGTCATTGCGAGTAATTTAACTAATGATTTTATATGTTGTTTAAAAAAATAAAAAGTTTTTTTGAAAAACAAATACCCCGAAATAGATAGCTTTAACCTTTTTTGGTTCAACTCTGTTTCAGGATTTAGTGTATATGAAAAAGGGCTGGCTTATCAAACAGGCAGCAAATGAGAAGGTATGTTAATTGTTTTAATGAAAATGAAGCATCTGCTTGTTGGATCTTCTCTAATATAATCATATTTTTGAAATAACTGGGATACATTTAATCCAAAATGACTCCTTTATTTCTGTGTCAGTTTTAGATTCTTGTATTGCTAGTTAGCAGTGATACAAATTGTCAGGTTTTCCTTCTTTCTGGTTTCAGTGGTAATAAAATGTACCCTCCCCATCTCTCATTTCTACCTGTCTCTCCCATTGTTTGAAAAAGTTTTGTTCATTAATTCCCATCTGCCTGTTCTCTGTTTAATAACTTTATACCAATTATTTTAGAATGTTTATATGGATGAATCTCCTTTTTACATCTTTTTTCTTCTTTTTTTTCTAGTTAGAATGTTTATGAGACTGTATCTCTGGATTTCTAGTGTAGGTGGATTGTTTTATGTATCCCCTGTCTTGAGTCATAGTGGCCTAATGGTTGGTGTGCCTGCGTGCCAAAAGAGAAATTAGGATTCAGTGTCCAGCAGAGATAGGATCATATTTGATCACCAATGCAGCTCTAGGCTTGTTTTGGGCTCAGCTTTGTAAGAATTGGTACTAAGTAATTGCCAGAAACTTTGGGAATGAAAGATAATGAGGAAGGAAACTGTCCACCTGACCTTATGTCATGACCTAGAATATGTGAAGGCTACACTGCTGTTACCTTGTACCAGTGATTAGAATGTGTACAGGTGATCATTTTACCCCTCCCTCTTTCTCTGAAACAAGTTCATACAAACTAGACTCACTTAAGGAGGGAAAACATAAATGTTAAGAACAGTTGTTTTCCCTTAGTGAATTTCAGTGTTGAGGACACAAACAATACACTGCACAATTTATTGCATGGCATATTTTGCTGTATATCATCAGATATATTACTACAGAGTTACATCAGCATATAATAAAGCACAAAACTAAAACCTTACCACTGAAAAATATAAATCACATTGTCTCTCTCGATACCATGTTTGTCTTACTGCCTGATGATCAGGATAGTCATGTGGTTTACCATGCCAAATTTAAAATTACCACAAATTCTGGTAAAAATGAATTATGATGAAATTTGGTTGCCTTATTTATGTGTGTGTGCTTGTGTATGAGAGAGAGAGAGAGTGTGTGTGTGGGAGTGAATCAGTGATTAGCTTGTTATATTGTTTTCTGTTGATCATCTTTACATACCATACCATCAACAATAAAATGTTAGCCAGAGGCTAGGGGGTGTCTTAGGAATTTGTGATGTGGTTTATTATTATCACCGTGTAAGAATAATAAAAAATGATTTGTTTTCTTCCGATTTCCGTAAAAACAAACACTTTTATTTTTAAATGTTGTCTACTGTTAATGCAACAGTAATTCTCAACTTTAAACACAATTTTTCCACAGTAGCCTTTAAACCCCATTCTTTGACTATTCGGTCACAAAGTAAACATTATTACATTTATTCTTTATTAAGCTGTATCATTGTAGACAAAAAATGTATCAGAAAATTTAAGGTTTTACCATCTAAACATGTCAGGAGTGCCACCTTACATCAAAGCTGTTATACCTATGGTTTTCCATTGTTTGTGGCTTGCAATCCACTGCTTTCCCCTCCCACATATTTTCCATATTTACGATGATCACCGTGTGGTGAAAGATGGGAGCCAAGCATCACTCGAATAAGTGGACATGCATGGTTGCCCTCTGATGTTATGAACTAGACGCATTTGCTTTTGGAAGAAGATTCAGACTTTGCCCTGCTCAAATGGTCTTTTTTCCACATCTTGGGGGTTATTGGGCATATAGTGCTAGACATATGTTTTATCGAACAATTGCCACTCGATGGTTGATGTGGTCACCATTACACTGGCTGCCTTCTCAGGATTTGATCTTATACTCATTTAAGACTGGGTCAACCCGAGAGCCAAGGTCGTGTTTGAAAAAATCCACCTCCATTCAGATTTGAACACACACCCTTCACATCTAGAGGCAAACTTCTAGCAGGTACACCATGACGGCTGACCAGCACAAAGGGAAACATAAAATATTGGGGACAGCTCGGAATTGAAAACGTAATAGGCCAAAGACTTAGCAAGGGACTAAGAGTATTTTTAGAGGATGGTGAGAGGAGTGACATTCTGCAAATTGACTGCTTTATGATACATGAAGATGATGTTGCTAAATTTGTTTGTGCAACAGTATGGCTAAGTATTGACTACTTGGTACATACTCGTCTGTACATTGTGAAAAATTGCTTTGTTTTACTTATGGGAAATTTGCCTAGAAAAGTAGACACTTGTAAAGCATTGTGCAATTTTAGGAATCACGCAAACATTGGTTTGTGCTTGCTGGCAATTCTCTGAGATACTACAAAGATGCTAAAGCTGAAGAGTCCAACATTCTTGATGGCAGGATTGACTTATCTTCATGTTATGAAGTTTCAGAACTGCCCACACACCGCAACTATGGTTTTAAAATTAAGGTAATGTTCAGTATCTGTCTGTGTTTGGCTCAGATATTCTTCTGCACCATTTGAGAATATGTTACTTCATATGAGAAGTGGTCAGTCGTGTTTTTGATTATGTATTTATGGTCTTGTACTCTGAGTCATGTTTTGTTTCATGCATGCCATATTTTCAAGCTTTTTTCTTTTCTTTCCCCCATATAACTTGCTGGCCCATTATATCAAGGCTTAGCACAGCATGAGCAGGTTTGAACTTGAGATTGATGTCTATTCCTGTGGCAAAGCAGCTTTCAGTGTTGTTTTTTTCTGCTGATAGTTTTTGTTCCTTTTAATTTAAGAAAAAAAAAAAAAAACAGTAGTGAAGCTCTTACATTTTGTACATTTGAGAGCAGAAATGTTAAATGAAAAGCTAATTTGGTTTTCTTGAAATATTCTAAGTAACAGGTATTGTCTGCCAAATATTACCTTAAAAAAAAAAGATTCAGCTTTTGTTTTTCTCAAAGTTTAATCTAGTCTCATGGATTCCCTTGGGTTCTAGTCCAGAATCTGTTCACTTCTGTTTCTGAGCATTACTTCTGTTAGTTTTTGTTACTTCTGTTTATTTTTGTTTAATTATCCTGTTTTAATTGTAATTGTTTGTCTCATGGCTGTTTCTTACAATTGTATACTTATCACAACTGGCTGACCGTATTACATAGAGAAAATCTGCCATTTGGAAATTACATTTTTAGCAGTACTGAGGTTTAGGCTAACAGCATATAAGTGTCTTCGTTAGGATATCTCATAGACCCTTTAAATCTGCTGAAGTCTTGTATTCAATCTTCACATATCTTTATTGAACTGGTTGTAAATAAGATTTGCATTGTGAGTAAGCAAGCAGCTAAGCAAAATAAGTACACACATCTCTAGTATGTTTTATACCGCGATAGTAGGCCAAACTTTCATTAAAACAGTTTTCAATATCTCAGATGTACATCTATATGGAACTTTGCTGGACAGTAATTTTCTGTTTCATTGTTTTGCATTTAGTGTTGCAGAGGTCAGCATAACAGTTTATCACATGCTGAAAACCTCAGCTGTAGAATGCAATCCTTCTTGCCTTTTTAATTCAGATGATAAGTTCTTCACTGTAACTATTGAAAACTGAAGTCCATTTCAGAACTTGGAAAAAGAGAGGGGTCATCAGGTCTTAGCCACTTGGTAACAACTGATCTATTTAACGCAGTGGTTTAGAAAGAACAGTCAGATACAAGTGGGAGGACATCACCAAGAGATACACTAATTTCAGTGAAGAAGATTGCAACTTCTGTTGGGTTACTTATCTATGCTTCTTTGCTCCCACATGGGACATGGTCTTTGTCAATGGCTGTTTTCTTAGAAACTCTTGCCATCAAGAGGTTGAAAATCTACACCACAAATATAATTTTGTCAAACTGGTTTTGACACTTTTATTTAAAAAAAAAAAAAAGCATAATCAGTAAATTATAATTCTTTGTAACCTATCTCTTAATTGTGCTTCTTCATATTGTAAAAGACACTGTTTTCTTATGAAGATAGCAGACATTTAACGTATACATGCTGTGTGATGTTGGTAGTCTTGTCTGTCCACAGCATTCTGTCTTGTGTACTTTCAGTCACGTCTGACACAGTGGATCTTCTATGCTCTGATGTCAGACTGTCCAGCATCTTCTCTCTTGGTCTCCCCCTGCTTCAGTCCCCCTCCAACTTTCCAACTGTCACAATATACTTCAGTTTTCTCCTTCTTGTGACATGACCAAAGAATGTAGATAGTCTCCTTCTGATGTCGGCAGTCAGTTCTAGTTCTCTTCATAAGTCATCGACGTCAAGACATCTTCTAGACAGTGAAAATTTACCACAATTATAATTTTGTCAAATTAATTGAAATTTTTTTTTTTTTAATAGAAACGTATTTTACATACAAAATCAAAACTGTTGATATCTCGTTATATATAAATTTTCTTCTTAGATAGTATCTGTTGCTGTTGATTCTTCCTGTAGTTGATACGTCATCAATTATTTGACATTAAACAGTTTAAAATTGTCAAGTCACCTTTTTCAGTGATGAGTCATGGGCTCTCTTAAGCAAGTAGAGTTATTTTTTAAGACATTTCTTTGCCTTACAATAGAAAATCCCCTCCCCCTCCCCTTTCCCCCTGCTTTCACATATGTCTTCCTGTTGTCTCATTTTTTCTCCTCACTTCACTTCATGATATCAGTTCTTTGTTGTGCATGTTTTCTTTCCAAAATTACTTTATTGTGTCAATTTGTGGACATGATTGATCTTGCTGACAGTGTTACTTTTTCTCTGCATGCTTTATTTGAGGATGCTGTTATTGTGTCACACCCGGCAGGAATCCACCTATAAAATCTAATTGACATGTATTTCTTCATTCACAGCAGTGCATGTTTTATTTGTACACAAGCTGTTGACTGCACTGTTTGTTTATAATATTGTGTATGTCTGGCTATAAGATGAAACTTGTTTGAACTTATTGGAATCTTGTTTATGCCTCAATTTTGTTTTTTAAGGTAGAAAATTGTTTTAAGATACAGTTGACCCTGTCCTGATACTTGCTCCATTGTTTTTTCTCTTTGCTTATTACCTGGCCACCCCCTCATCCTCCACAGACTGGCAATGGTGAGTACACTCTGGCAGCTATGACACTGGGTATTCGTGACAACTGGATGAAGGCAATACGCTTGTGTATGGAACTACATAGTACAGTCCCCAAATGGAAGCTTGCATCTTCTCCTGCTGGAACTGCTCACTCAACTAAATCCCCTCCAAGGGCTTCTCTTGATGATCTGGAATTTAAATTAGGAGTAGCTGAAAGTTCTACTACAGCTGTGACAGGAGCTGGTGGGGAAACAGCATTCCAGTTGGTGGGCCACAAGGATCCGTACAGAAGAGAGAGTCAGAAACCCATCAGGCGGCATCACTCTGATGTCAGCCCTGGCAACGTCAGCAAAATGCTAAGTGTCAAAGAGTTTACTGCAGGCTTGGAGCCAGCTGGGTCTGCTGCTGTTTCTCCAGCATCACCCAGTACAAGTAGCTCATTGACTTCCAGTAGAGCTCAAAATGTAAGTGCTGATGTCACTTCCAGAGTTTCCAAGAAACCAAAGCAGCATAGTCCTACAGGTGAATATTTAGTACGGCCTTCCCGGAATAATCCTGCAGAGAACATGAGAGATGGAACACCAAAGATGAAGCGATTTGTTGAGGGCAGTGATAATATGCCCATAGTGAGCAGCGGGGCTGCTGCACAAGGCCCAGAGCAAGCGAAATCCATTCCAAAACGTAGTGTCACCAGTGAAAGTACCAAAGAAGAGGTCAAAAGGGAGATGATGAGAAGAGCAAAATCACCAAGTGCTAGAGTGAAGGAAAAGTCTCGAGCTGCAAAATCTCCACGCATGAACTCTGCAGATGAATCCTTCAGCTATCACTCAGGGAGTGCCACAGCTTCAGAGTCTGACACCATTGATGGTTCTAGCTACAGAGACCTGCCCATGTCAGAGGTACTTGTTAGCTGTGTTAGCTGTCGTGTGTTTTCCTTTTTGTTCCCCTAACTACCCTCCTCCTGCTGTTTGTGTGTTCATCATGCCTGTGCTAGACACTGATTCATTTGGTAGAGCTCATTAACTTGACTAACCTGAGTGCTAAACTCTGAAAAGGTTTGTATATAAAAAGAGTAAAAGGTATCGCTAGGTTGTGTAGCAGCATGCTTTTATATAATCATCGTCTTTGCAACTGTTATACAGGGAGTGGGTGATTGTTTTGTTTCTTTTACATTGCATTGCAGCATTGTGTTATACTAAAAATATGTTCAAACATGTTTAATAGTTAGTTATACATTGAAAGTTTGCCCCAGGAGATGCTAAATTATATTCTCATTGACCTAGCTGAAAGAACTATCATAGCTTCATTGTTACAGCAACCCATTTGTTTCTAACAGTGAATAGCTTGAGCTGCATAATTAGTATTGTAGACAAGTGTTTTCTGGCATGTTCCTTTTTACTAGAGAATATTAATCCTAGCACAAGCCTTAGCGAAATGAATAGATATTGTATTTATCTCAACTAGATGAACAAAGAAGAAGATACACATATCTTTTCATTGTTGTTCTAGTAATGCTTACACAGGGAAACCAGTATTTATTTGTGATATATGCTGCTGTAATTGAGAGCTTCTTAGTGGTTCTTTGTTTCTTCCAACACTTGGGAAGCTGCTCACTCTGCAGTTGGGACGTGTGTGACATTCTTGAAGGCTATGTTTGTTTGTCTTTGTTGTCTATCTGTATGTGTACAGGGGTGATATGACCAGTTTCATTCTAAGTAATTGTTCAGTCTGTTGTGTCCTGTTTTCATAAAAAACTTATTTGTTTTGTTAGATCTGTTATAGCTGTATTTGTCTTATTGTTGATTGAGATTTCTAATTGAATTTACATCAGTCTTTCTGCATGTCATATAAAGAGATAGCTTATTCCCATTGTGGATCTTTAGCCAACTTGCCACAATGAGTTGATATCCACTGTAGTGCAATCATTCTGTTAGTGTTGACTTTATTTAATATTCTTTTTAGCATTGGCAGTTTGCTATTGTTTGAGGTTGCAGAACTGACAGTGCCCTAGTAAGAAATTGAACCTAGGGTAGTAGCTTATGTTGACCTTTTTGCCCAGAAGATCAAACGGAAGTAACCCAGGAACCTGTCAGTAACTTGCCATAAATTTCACATCTGATTTCCTTTTAAACAAATTCATTCCCAGAACCCAGTCAGCAATAAAGTTATATAAATAAAGATACTTACAGTATAAAATAAAAATGGGTGTGTGAGAGAGGAGAGAGGAAAGGGGGGGGGGGGGGATTGAGATCATAGTAAACTTAAAATTTGTGGGTTTGAATTTAAAAAATAACAAACATTGGCTTCCATATCAACTCAAATGTTTGCTAAGTAAAGACCTGAGAAGTAAAGGCGGCTGGCGTGATGTTGACTGCACTGACCATTGAGTGCTGTTTGTTCAATAAAAAAACAGGTCCTTAACCTGACTTTCGGCAGTCATCTGATAACACAAATACAGTAACAAACAACCAAAAGCCAGAATAGAAGAAACAATATTTATCCCAATTATAACAAAGATGTGTTGAACAGACTATCTCAGGGAAATGTAATTATTCAAACAGAAGTGCAGATATAACAAGCAACCAGATGTAACTGTTAAGCATAAATATCTCGTACTGAAATAGAACTTAACTATCTTCATCAGCATAATGCAGACTTTTCCATATCCTGATAAAAATGATCACAGGTAAATACAGCGCAGTATCCAGGTGTGTTTGAAAAAAAAAAAAAAAAACTTTTGTGAAAGTTCAATTTCAGTCTTTTATTTTGATGGCACTATCCTCCATTCTCAGAAGAACACCAACAAACACTTCTTGCCATTGTGATACATAGTGGTCTTTGGCTTACTACTTGTTACTTGTGTTGCTCAAAGGTTTGTCATCTCTGTCAGTTGAAGCCATACATCCAGAATGAAGCACAGTGACAGAAAAAAATCTACTACACCACTTTCTGTAGAAATATTTCCTGGAATATTGCAAACACCAGGGGTGTCATTTAGTTGAATAACTGTTTTCCATATCATCAAGAGAACTCAGTGATGTGGTTAAATAACTCTTATTTTCTATCTATCGCTATCATCAAGAGAACTCAGCGATGTGGTTGAGTAACTCTGTTTTCCATCTATCGCTATCATCAAGAGAACTCAGCGTTGTAGTTGAATAACTCTGTTTTCCATCTATCGCTATCATCAAGAGAACTCAGCGTTGTAGTTGAATAACTCTGTTTTCCATCTATCGCTATCATCAAGAGAACTCAGCAATGTGGTTGAATAACTCTGTTTTCCATCTGTCGCTATCATCAAGAGAACTCAGCCATGTGGTTGAGTAACTCTGTTTTCCATCTATCGCTATCATCAAGAGAACTCAGCGATGTGGTTGAATAACTCTGTTTTCCATCTATCGCTATCATCAAGAGAACTCAGCGATGTGGTTGAGAAACTCTGTTTTCCATCTGTCGCTATCATCAAGAGAACTCAGCAATGTGGTTGAATAACTCTGTTTTCCATCTATCGCTTCATCAAGAGAACTCAGCGATGTGGTTGAATAACTGTTTTCCATCTATCGCTTCATCAAGAGAACTCAGCGATGTGGTTGAATAACTCTGTTTTCCATCTGTCGCTATCATCAAGAGAACTCGGCAATGTGGTTGAATAACTCTGTTTTCCGTCTATCACTATCATCAAGAGAACTTAGCGATGTGGTTGAGTAACTCTGTTTTCCATCTATCGCTTTCATCAAGAGAACTCAGCAATGTGGTTGAATAACTCTGTTTTCCATCTGTCGCTATCATCAAGAGAACTCAGCCATGTGGTTGAGTAACTCTGTTTTCCATCTATCGCTATCATCAAGAGAACTCAGCGATGTGGTTGAATAACTCTGTTTTCCATCTATCGCTATCATCAAGAGAACTCAGCGATGTGGTTGAGAAACTCTGTTTTCCATCTGTCGCTATCATCAAGAGAACTCAGCAATGTGGTTGAATAACTCTGTTTTCCATCTATCGCTTCATCAAGAGAACTCAGCGATGTGGTTGAATAACTGTTTTCCATCTATCGCTTCATCAAGAGAACTCAGCGATGTGGTTGAATAACTCTGTTTTCCATCTATCGCTATCATCAAGAGAACTCAGCGATGTGGTTGAATAACTCTGTTTTCCATCTATCGCTTTCATCAAGAGAACTCAGCGATGTGGTTGAATAACTCTGTTTTCCATCTATCGCTTTCATCAAGAGAACTCAGCGATGTCGACATGCCACACCACCACCAGCTGATGTCGAGAACATGCCACTGTCAGCTGATACCGACAGCACACAATGATCAGCTGATGACAAAGATGCATTATCATCATCACATCTACGTCTAATGTACAATATTGTGTTCCTTCTAAAGCACTAACAACACTGTCGTCATCACTATTCATTATAGCATCATAAAGAAAAGGTCACGTTATTTTTGTTGGTGAATTAACAGCATCACAGTAAGTTTTCTTCCTTTGTGGTGACACATTTTTGGTAGCACTTTGAAACACATACTTCCTGTACAGAAACTGTCAATTCACATGGCCAAGTTGCTTTATTTAATAACCAGAGACACTAGTACATCATCTGAACACATATGAACCATATGACCGGTCAGTTTGGATTAACTAGTGGACTTAATACAACCAGAAGTGACTAGATTTAGGCTTCTTAGGACGTAAGGGTCAGTTATTGTTTCTGCAGCAGGATGCTTGAAGCCAAAACTTAGTAAAAGCCCAGAATTATTTGAGTACAATATTCCATAAAGTTGGTGAATAGATGGGTCTGTGTAGACTATATAAACTGTTCTGTTTCTCTTGCACATGTTCAATAATTTCACATGCTGATATTCTCTTTTGGTTGGTATTCATTTATATCATCATCATGAAGTCTCTAAGAGAAGATGTGATATATGTAGAAACAGCATAAATTAAACACATTGTTTTATAATTTTGTTGTAGTTTAACAAAGGTAAATGCAGGCGCTAACAGATTAAAAAAAAAAAAAAAAATACACATAAAAAAAGAAAAAAAGATTGAAAATAAAAATCAATTTTATTGGATTTTACTCACCGATATCACACTTATGCATTGGTGCTAATTTTCTTTCTCTATATCTGTTCTGTAATTTTGCATGTTGACCATGTCTGTTTACATGTATCTATATACTGTATTGGGATCTGTATGTCACCAAGTTTGTGTTTGCATGTTTGACTGTGTTAGTTTTGTAAACATGTTGGTGGAGGACTAACTCTGTAGCATTTCTGTGTAAACTATTGGGAAGATGGCTCCCTCAGTCAGTGTGTGCATTTTAAGCCAGATAATGCAAACTGGTGCAGCTTTTGCTTTGCTGCATTATATTTTGCAGTATGCAGCGGTAGAAATAAAGTATCTTGGTACATTGCATATTTATGGTAGCCCCAAGTTTGTTTATTTGTTATTGATCACTCAGCACTAGATGAACGATGAGGTCAGTATTATGTCATCTGGCTTTACTTCCAAGAACAGGTCCTGGTACAGATGTTAGACTTGGTTGACATGGAAGCCTCATCAAGTCCTTCACACAATGGCACTCTCATCAAGGTCTGCCTGAAATAGCTTGGTTTTCTTACCAGCTCTCCTGTCTCATGAACTTTCCTACCCAAGGTGTCATATCTTGTACCCATATTCATGCCGATCAACCCCCTGCTCCTCTTTCCTGCTATCATGCCTTCTGCTGTTATTTGCAATCCACAGTGGCCCTTGAAGTGGCCATCATATTTCAGTTTCCGAGACAGCATACTGTTTTTAGCCAATTTCTTTCATGTGTAATGACACTGAAGCCTGGGTGAATAAAAAAAAAATTGATAAATCCCATTTTTAAAAAGACATGAGAGGGCCATCAGGCCAGCGTGCTAACGATGGTGGCACTATGGCTTCCTGTAAGCTCAAACAAAATTGTTTTCTATACCAGCAGTTCTGATCAATCACATTTTATTGGTGTCACCCAGCATTCTTTTAGCTTTTCACAAATCATTTTAAATTGTAAAATGAGAACACTGTTAGTTGTTCAGTGTTTAGTTTTGGTCACTTGTTTAAACTATGTATATGCAAGATTCATTACCCACAGATAGTCCAGTTAACTCTGTACTCGTTAGCTGTTATATTCTTTATAACAATTTCAGATTTTTTCTTGTTTATGTGGTTAATAAATCTGTTATTTGTTAGAATTTTTTGATGGATCATTTAAAAAAAATTTACAAATCTTTTCTTGCCAGAAAATGTCCTTTGTGATCTTCCAGCTGTTAGCTAACAAACAAGAAAAACTTGGATAAGATTGACTCCAATGCTAGTCACTGCATGTCATTAACCGTTTCACTGACAGCTTCTTATGGCAAAATATGTACTTTGCCGTGTATAGTGGGTGTTGCGATAGCACAGTGACTATACTCTTATGTGCAACCCTAACAGTCGGGTTCTAGTTCACATCAAAGCAAATATTTGTGTTTATTGACCTGCGCTCTCAGGTCAAGCCAGCCTGATGTGAGTAGTGGGACATTTTCTGCATGATATTGGCCATATGACCCGTCAGGTGGTCTAGCACCATATGTCAGATACACAAATGGGTTCTGTACTAGCATGACATTCGGTCATACAACTGTAATGTTATAGAATATTGAGCTAGAATATGTTAGTTAAATATCTTCTCATTTCTTTCAAACTGCTGGCTAGTAAGGCAGAACATCCAGTTTCTTCTTGGTTATGATCTAGATTTTGGGCATACACAGTGTTCAGTTCTTCAGGGCTACAATTGAGTCTTTTGCTTTCTTTCTATAATGATGACAGATTAAATATTAAATCCATACCGATGTATGGGCAGCTGTTGCTTAAGGATTGTGAATGCGTTTTCACAATCCTGACAGGGTTAAAATTCACCTACAGGCAGTTTGGTAGCAGACTACCTTGCACTGAATTTGATAGTAGTATGAGCATTGTACCGCTCAGCCAACACTGACAAACCACTGAACATAAAATTACCTGTAAAAGCTGGGTTTGGTTTGTGACATCCTGAGGGCGACCTGCAAAAGATCCAGTTTCTAGAAATAATTAAAAATTATTCAGTATAATTAAAAATTTGTGTAATTTGTGACAACAAAATCAATATGCTTTAATCATGTAGTACAAATAATTAACCAGTCTCACAATTTAGTACAAATTAGCTATTGTCTTTTCATTTATCCAAAATAATTAACCTCTCTATGACCATAAAGAAAAATAGTTATTTATTCTATAACCAGGTAGCAGAATTTGTATTTATATTTTTTGACTTGCAGTAACAACAATGGATTGTTCTCTAACACTCTTGACACTCCCTAACTATATATATATATATATATTCAGACTATAACTTGTAATGCTTTCTTCAAGGGTACAATAACACAGTTTGCTTGTGTATTTGTATTGTCCATCTCTTGAGAGCATCATCATGTGTGGGGCAAAGGTCTGTTTATAATCCTCATTTTGTCATTCAATGGGGTTGAGTCTATGTGGTTAAGCCATTAGCCTCATGCACTCTGAAGGTTAAGGTTTTTAATTCTGGACTTCATCCTTCGGTTTGTGAGCACAGGGAGTTTGGAGATTCCTGGGGGTTGTTGCTAGAGCTGTGAAAGTATTTTGTTTGCAACACTTGCAGGTGACCAGCCACTATGGAGAGAAATTGAGCCATACAAGAAAACAAATCCTGCTCGTTGAAGTCAGTCCTCTCACCTTTAAACATCATTTGTGTTAAAAAAAAATTTCATATCATACAAACTGTATTAGCACCTATTAGTTGTATTAAAGTAGATTAAGAAATTATGAAACGTTTTAGTCACTAGCATTATACTTGACGTGCTGGCAAACTATGTCTAGTGGAACATTGTGAAGAGTGCATGTTGTGACATGACCAAAAACTAACCAACCAGTTATGTATGCATACACATTTTTATCCAGCCATTTCTGGCACAAGGGTATGAGAAAGATCAACACACACAAATGTGTATCAAGCCATAGGGTATGAGGAAGATCAACACACACCAATGTGAATCCAGCCATATCTGGCACAAGGGTGTGAGGAAGATCAACACACACCAATGTGTCTCCAGCCATATCTGGCACAAGGGTGTGAGGAAGATCTACACATACAAATGTGTCTCCAGCAATATCTGGCACAAGGGTGTGAGGAAGATCAACACACACCAATGTGTCTCCAGCCATATCTGGCACAAGGGTGTGAGGAAGATCTACACATACAAATGTGTCTCCAGCCATATCTGGCACAAGGGTGTGAGGAAGATCTACACATACCAATGTGTCTCCAGCAATATCTAGCACAAGGGTGTGAGGAAGATCAACACACACCAATGTGTCTCCAGCCATATCTAGCACAAGGGTGTGAGGAAGATCTACACATACCAATGTGTCTCCAGCAATATCTAGCACAAGGGTGTGAGGAAGATCAACACACACCAATGTGTATCCAGCCATATCTAGCACAAGGGTGTGAGGAAGATCAACACATACCAATGTGTCTCCAGCAATATCTGGCACAAGGGTGTGAGGAAGATCAACACATACAAATGTGTCTCCAGCAATATCTGGCACAAGGGTGTGAGGAAGATCAACACACACAAATGTGTATCCAGCCATATCTAGCACAAGGATGTGAGGAAGATCAACACACACCAATGTGTATCCAGCCATATCTGGCACAAGGGTGTGAGGAAGATCAACACATACAAATGTGTCTCCAGCAATATCTAGCACAAGGGTGTGAGGAAGATCAGTACGCACAAAAACAGTGTGGCTTTGTTACACATGCTAAAAGAAGCGTCCTCTTACATGCAATCTAAATAAAGTATCTCTGATAGAAATATAATTCTCTTGATGTGACTTGTAGTTTAAAATCAGATGGTTGACATTTTTTCACAGAGAATTAGTAAGTGCCTCAGTCTCATTTCTAAAACAAAGAAACATATTTTTAATTTAACATTCTATTCTAAAACAAAAAGTGTATAGATGGAGACAGGCTGTGGCAACATGAGGCCTCCAAGATGACTTGAGCAAATCTGTTAGTGACCAGCTGTTGGCCACACAGCGTGCCCTCCCTCCAAAATCACTAGTAGATTCTGGGAAATGGGGATACATCTGTACAATTTCTTATCAGTGACAATAGAGCTGGACTTGCCCTTCAGTTGATCCTAAGAAGAAGATCATCCAACTGTGAAGCTGTCATGTGTGTGTTCTCATGCTAACTCAAGTACATATATAAGTAATCTACAAACAACACACTCTATTTATGGGCCTGATGATGCTCTAGTCTGAAGAAACCATTATTGTCTTTGGCTCTAGGATGAATTTACAGTCCCAGAAGATACAGACCTAGATGAGGTTGGTAGTGCTACCGCATCCGACATTGTAGGCAGTGATGGTGCTCTTGTTGAGATTTTGGAAACTGAGGTATTAGTGCTTTCATCTGTAGTTGATGCTTTTGCTTTAATATGTAGATTTTATTTTACTCACTGTAGTCATGCTTTGTTTATTCTTAACACAGACTTATTTATTTGTTGAACCCAATCAGGACCAAGCAGCTGATCACATGCCTATAGGCTTTAACTAACCTTATGTATTTTTCTGGGGCCTAGTGATTTTACAGTTGTTACACTAAACCCACTCAGTCCCATATGTTACTTCAGCTGTACCTGTTCCATAGTGTTATAATTTTAACTCCTCAGAGCTAACCATTTGTTTACTTCTTTAAATACAATGTCATACAAGTAAAACCAGCTTTTTTTTTGTTACCGAAAGAGTTGAGAAACCAGGGCCACATATTAATAGTTTTTGGTTGCCTTTTTCCCCTTTATAGTAAAATGTATTGAATAACTATTTTGTGATTTGACAAGTCTTCTGTCCAGTGGGATGTCTTATTGAATTGGCACATGGGTGGGACATTATATGTTGTAGATTGTGTCACAGTGAATAGAAACCTAGATATAAGGTTACATGTAGTAGACTCTTTCAGTGGTTGTAGACATGGGTGTGAAATTATGTGTAGTGGAATGTTTCACAATAAATGGAGATATAGGTGTGAGGTTATGTGTGGTAGAATGTGTCACAGTGAATGGAGACCGGGTTATGAGGATATATATAGTAGAGTCTCTCAGTGACTATATTCAGTAAAGTTTTTCAATGAATTAAGCCACTGTGGTGAGGAAATACCTAAAATATCTTAATGAATGGGGAGATTGAAGTAAGGATTTGCATAAAAAAATATCTTAATAGCTGGTGAAATCGATTCAGTTTATGCATAACTGAAAGTCTCGGTGAATTAAGACACTGCTATGGGCTGTAATTAATAACATAGTAGTAGAAACAAGTCATCTTATAGAGCACACATATACAAGCTGATTACAGTGGATAGCTGTGATTTTGTCTCCAGTATTTATGGTCTTCTCTATGCAAAAAAGATTGTGTGAGTTTATGTTAAAATAAAACAAAAGAACACCCTCTAATAGAAAAGGAAAGTTAGTTAGTTAGTCTTTCCTCTTGTGTCGAGTGCGGCACATAGGGCAGAGGTCATGACTCTCCATGCATGGCGGTTCGTTGCAATCTGTTGTAGGTCTTGGATGTTTGAGTGGCCCATGAGTGAGCCTTCCCTGATGATAGTTCTACGTAGGGTTTCCCTTGGTCTTCCACGAGATCTTTTCCCCTGTGGTGTCCAAATGAGGGCTTGGTAAGGAAGTCTTGATTTATCCATTCTAAGGGCGTGGCTGACATAGTTCCAGCGGCGTTTTCGTATAAAATTAGACACATACTCTTGCCTGGATTCTTGCCTTATTTGTGTATTGGTTCGGAAATCTGACCATTTGAAATTTAGTATTCTTCTAAGGCATTTATTTTCAAAACTGTCTAATTTTGTGTCTAGAGTTTTCGTTGATTTCCAGCTCTCGCATCCATAGGTTAGTACTGGAATCACACAAGAATTGAAGATCTTGAGTTTTGTGTGTTTGCTAAGTGTCTTTGATTTCCAGATGTTGGACAGTTTATTGAAGGCACTAGATGCCAGTGCTATTCTAAATGGTATTTCTGGTGCGGTATCTCCTGTAGATGACATCTTGCTCCCTAGATAAGTGAAACTGTTGACTTTTTCAGGGCTGTTGTTGTTCAGCGTGATATCAACTGAACTGTTGGTGAGGTCTAGAATTTTTGTTTTTGCGGTGTTAATTTGGAGTCCAATTTGTTCTGAGAAATTCTGGAGTCGATTGATTTTTTCTTGGGCGTCTGTGTGTTCTGAACTCAGGAGTGCTATGTCGTGTCGGCGAAGTCTAGGTCTTCCAGAGTTTTGTCAACCCATGTAATGCCTAAATTTGCGTTATTTATGCACTTGCGCATGACCCAGTCGATTGCTATACCAAAAAGCATCGGCGATAGGACACAGCCTTGCTTCACTCCTGTTTCCACCGGGAACCAGTCAGAATTGCCGGAATCAGTTCTTACACAGCATCGTGTTTCATTATAAAAAGATTTTATGATGTTGATATATTTGATGGGGAAACCATAGATGTTAAGCAATTTCCAGAGTGTTGGACGATGGATACTGTCGAAGGCTGAAAAGGAAAGACAAAGATGAAAAAATAATTTTTTAGATGTTCTGTTTAAGTTAAAGATAGTTGCTATCCTTTACAGGGCATTGGAATTTTACCATCCGTGTTTTGTTATTGATTCCTGCATAGTTGGCTCAATACAATTGTTGAAGTCAATGGGAAGTGATCTGCTGAATGAATGATGTTCTGTTACAAATGGCTGTGTTAATAGGAGGTGATTGTCATATTTAACTAGCCTGTATGTTGTTGACTCTTTTCACTATATACTTGGAGTTTTGTTCTGTGTGGGGGTTGTACTTATGCTGCTGTTGATGGTTTCAGGTGGAATCTTTAAAAGACAGGCTAGAACATACACAAACCGAACTGGATAAAATGCACAAGGACAACATGGATCTGAAATCTCGTCTGCACAAAGAAACCTCTCAGGTTAGCTCTATCAATTTAACTACATTTGTATGTATACATGCATGCGAGAGAGTGAAAGAATAAATATATACACACATATTAATGTGTTTGTTAGAGCTTGAATGTTGAGTTAAGAATTGATTTCACAGGACTTGGGGCATTCACATAGGCTCTTCATCCACATTTTCAGCAGCAAGTGACCAATTCCAAAGTAACTGTCTGATTGTTTATCTGTCTCACCTTTCCCTCGAGTGTTGAGCATTGGCCAGATTCCCTGGTAACTCCTTGCAGTGCCATTCTCCTCAGAGTGTAATCATCTGTGTGTGTCTCTGCATTGTTTACTCTTTCCTAAAGGATCCTTACAACATCTAGCTTGTCATATATCAGTTTACCACTCAGTGATGCATAACCCGCTAGTCTATCCATCTTTTCATTGTTTGAGCTTATAAATATGAAAGAAAACAGGAAATATTCAGACTAGTCTAGATGGAGAAATTATCTGGACAGATCTTCAGAAACAGTGCTGCAGAAATTAAATTAATTTCTGACAGTGGAAAAGTGCTGTAATATCAGTAACAATATGGTTATTAAAGATGCAGGTAATTAGGTTTATAACATATGATACAGAAAAGAAAAATTTAGTTCAAACAAGAAAGACCAAACCAAATATGGTTTTTTTACTGCATCATACAACATCACATGCAACATTAGACAAACTGAATGGTATATATTCTACTGTGTCATACCAATTCAAACCATACTGTGCAATCATTTGGGTGACTCATCGCTACATTGTTCAGTATTTCTGTTTGATTATCAGAGCTTAGACAGTGGCTACAGTACAACTGGTCGTTGGGGGGTGCAGAACCCAAGTCAGAATGATGCAGCTAGTGGCGGTCCCTGGAATCAAGGTTCTGCTCAGACTGAGGTAATGTGTACTCACTGATACCTAGGTAGATTTGACTGTTCATCATCATGTGTTCATGCACAAGTTTATACCTTTCTTTGCTTATGTTAAATACTTCACCACCTTCACAGTAATGTGGAAATTTGTTATTGAAACAGCATTTTATCATTTCTTTTGTAAGGACCCTGTAAAAGGTAGCAACAATTGAAAGGCCTAATACATTAAGGAAGTAGAACTATACATGAAAGAAAACAGTGAGAGAAACTGTATCAGTACATCTCTGAAGTAGAATGCTACATCAGCAGAACATAGAGGTTCAGTATATTTATGAAGTAGAACCCCTGGTGAGGAGAACAGTAGAGAGAGAGAGAGTATATTTATGAAGCAGAACCCCAGGTGAGGAGAACAGTAGAGAGAGAGAGATATATTTATGAAGTAGAAGCCCAGGTGAGGAGAACAGTAGAGAGAGAGAGTATTTTTATGAAGTAGAACCCCAGGTGAGGAGAACAGTAGAGAGAGAGAGAGAGAGAGTATATTTATGAAGCAGAACCCCAGGTGAGGAGAACAGTAGAGAGAGAGAGAGTATATTTATGAAGCAGAACCCCAGGTGAGGAGAACAGTAGAGAGAGAGAGTATATTTATGAAGCAGAACCCCAGGTGAGGAGAACAATAGAGAGAGAGTATATTTATGAAGCAGAACCCCAGGTGAGGAGAACAGTAGAGAGAGAGAGAGTATATTTATAATATAACCCCAGGTGAGGAAAACAGTAGAGAGAGAGAGAGTATATTTATGAAGTAGTACTCCTGGTGAGGAGAACAGTAGAGAGAGAGAGAGAGAGAGTATATTTATGAAGCAGAACCCCAGGTGAGGAGAACAGTAGAGAGAGAGAGAGAGTATATTTATGAAGTAGAACCCCAGGTGATGAGAACAGTAGAGAGAGAGAGTATATTTATGAAGTAGAACCCCAGGTGATGAGAACAGTAGAGAGAGAGAGTATATTTATGAAGTAGAACCCCAGGTGAGGAGAACAGTAGAGAGGTTCAGTATATTTATGAAGCAGAACCCCTGGTGAGGAAAACAGTAGAGAGAGAGAGTATATTTATGAAGTAGAACCCCAGGTGAGGAGAACAGTAGAGAGAGAGATAGAGTATATTTATGAAGCAGAACCCCAGGTGAGGAGAAAAGTAGAGAGAGATAGAGTATATTTATGAAGTAGAACTCCTGGTGAGGAGAACAGTAGAGAGATAGAGTATATTTATGAAGCAGAACCCCAGGTGAGGAGAACAGTAGAGAGAGAGAGAGTATATTTATGAAGTAGAACCCCAGGTGAGGAGAACAGTAGAGAGAGAGAGTATATTTATGAAGCAGAACCCCAGGTGAGGAGAACAGTAGAGAGAGAGTATATTTATGAAGCAGAACCCCAGGTGAGGAGAACAGTAGAGAGAGAGAGAGAGAGTATATTTATAATAGAACCCCAGGTGAGGAGAACAGTAGAGAGAGAGAGTATATTTATGAAGTAGTACTCCTGGTGAGGAGAACAGTAGAGAGAGATAGAGTATATTTATAAAGTAGTACTCCTGGTGAGGAGAACAGTAGAAAGAGAGAGTATATTTATGAAGTAGAACCCCTGGTGAGGAGAACAGTAGAGAGAGAGAGAGAGTATATTTATGAAGCAGAACCCCAGGTGAGGAGAACAGTAGAGAGGTTCAGTATATTTATGAAGCAGAACCCCTGGTGAGGAGAACAGTAGAGAGAGAGAGAGAGTATATTTATGAAGTAGTACTCCTGGTGAGGAGAACAGTAGAGAGAGAGAGAGAGTATATTTATGAAGTAGTACTCCTGGTGAGGAGAACAGTAGAGAGAGAGAGAGTATATTTATGAAGTAGAACCCCTGGTGAGGAGAACAGTAGAGAAAGAGAGAGTATATTTATGAAGCAGAACCCCTGGTGAGGAGAACAGTAGATAGAGAGAGTATATTTATGAAGCAGAACCCCAGGTGAGGAGAACAGTAGAGAGGTTCAGTATATTTATGAAGCAGAACCCCTGGTGAGGAGAACAGTAGAGAGAGAGAGTATATTTATGAAGCAGAACCCCAGGTGAGGAGAACAGTAGAGAGAGAGAGAGAGTATATTTATGAAGCAGAACCCCAGGTGAGGAGAACAATAGAGAGCTTCAGTATATTTATGAAGCAAAACCCCAGGTGAGGAGAACAGTAGAGAGGTTCAGTATATTTATGAAATAGAACCATGTGTAAGGAGAACAGTAGAGAGCTTCAGTATATTTATGAAGCAAAACCCCAGGTGAGGAGAACAGTAAAGAGGTTCAGTATATTTATGAAGTAGAACCCCTAGTGAGGAGAACAGTAGAGAGAGAGAGAGAGTATATTTATGAAACAGAACCCAGGTGAGGAGAACAGTAGAGAGAGAGAGAGTATATTTATGAAGCAGAACCCAGGTGAGGAGAACAGTAGAGAGGTTCAGTATATTTATGAAGTAGAACCCCTAGTGAGGAGAACAGTAGAGAGAGAGAGAGAGTATATTTATGAAACAGAACCCAGGTGAGGAGAACAGTAGAGAGGTTCAGTATATTTATGAAGTAGAACCCCTAGTGAGGAGAACAGTAGAGAGAGAGAGTATATTTATGAAGCAGAACCCCAGGTGAGGAGAACAATAGAGAGGTTCAGTATATTCACGAAGTAGAACCCTGCGTAAGGTGAACAGTAGAGAGGTTCAGTATATTTATGAAGCAAAACCCCAGGTGAAGAGAACAGTAAAGAGGTTCAGTATATTTATGAAACAGAACCCAGGTGAGGAGAACAGTAGAGAGGTTCGGTATATTTATGAAGCAGAACCCAGGTGAGGAGAACAATTGAGAGGTTCACTATATTTATGAAGCAGAACCCCAGGTGAGGAGAACAGTAGAGAGGTTCAGTATATTTATGAAGCAGAACCCCAGATGAGGAGAACAGTAGAGAGGTTCAGTATATTTATGAAGCAGAACCCCAGGTGAAGAGAACAGTAGAGAGGTTCAGTATATTTATTATGTAGGACCCTTTATAAGAAGTAGCTCTGCATAGGATAGTATAGAGGCTCAGTATATTTATGAACTAGAACCACACATATGGAGAACAGTAGAGAGGTTCTATGTATTTATGAAGTAGAACGCTGCATAAGGAGAGAGGTTCAGTATATTTATGAAGCAGAACCCCAGGTGAAGAGAACAGTAGAGAGGTTCAGTATATTTATTATGTAGGACCCTTTATAAGAAGTAGCTCTGCATAGGATAGTATAGAGGCTCAGTATATTTATGAACTAGAACCACACATATGGAGAACAGTAGAGAGGTTCTATGTATTTATGAAGTAGAACGCTTCATAAGGAGAGAGGTTCAGTATATTTATGAAGTAGAACTCTACATGAGAATAGTATAAAGGCTCAGTATATTTATGAAATAGAACCCCACAAGAGAAGAACAGTAGAAAGGTTCAGTATATTTATGATGTAGAGCCCTACTTAAAGAGAACTGCAGAGTGGTTCAGTATATATGAAGTAAAACCCTACATGAGGAGAAGCATTAAGAGACACTATCAGTATGTTAGCGCAGTAGACCATACAGGAAGAGAACAGTAGAGAGGCTTATTATATTTATGAAGTAGAACCCTGCATGAAAAAAAGGAGAGGCTCAGTATACCTGGGAAAGAATTTCAAAATAAATTCTTGCATTTTGCAATGAATAAATTTAATACATGCTTTTAAACTAGCCAGTTTTTTTTTTGAGACCTCAAAAATGTGATTTTACAGAAGAGCAGTTAAAATTTCTTGAACAGCTAAAAGGAGTCTTCTAAATGTTCTGAAATGACAAAGATTATGACGAAGCTGTCATAAGCTTTGGTCACATTATGAGAAGTGGAAAGCTGGAATATTTTGACAACTGGAAATATCTTTGGAAAGAGAGAAAGAGGAAGACAATGAGAGAAATTCAGACAGTGTTTTGGAAGGGCATGAAAAGGAGCCAGCACATAATCTGATATATGTTCTTGAAGATTGCAAGATATGAAGCGTGATTACCTAAGCTAGTCTACAGTGCACTTGATGAAGAGATGCTATTGAAAGAAATTTGAACTTTATGTATACCTAGAATTTTGTATTAGAAACTAACCATTGATTTATGAATTGCTTCTCTAGACTTTGAAGCGCCAGCTGAAGGAGGCTAGAGACACAGTGCAGAAACAAAAGCTGGATATTGAGAATCTAAAGAGCAAGCTAGATATGTCAATCTCCAAACTAACTGGCACAGAGAAAGCTTTGTCTGAGGCTCTGAGAGACTATAAGCTGGAGAAGGACAAGGTATAGTCTAAGATTGTATGGTCTGAGATTGTTTTTAAATTGTCTTGTCTTGTAGAATGTTTAGTTGGTAGCTGACTGGCTACTTGAGTTTTTTGTTGATTGGCTGTTAATTATATGTTGTCTTATGTTCATTGGATGTGTAATTGTCTTATGTTCATTGGCTGTTAATTTTATTTTGCGTTTTGAATGTTTAGTTGATTGATGACTGGCTGATAAGAGTTTGTTGTTGATGGACTGTTGATTTTATCTTGTCTTGTGTTCATTGGCTGTCAGTTGTGTCTTGTTTTAAATGTTCAGTTCGTAGCTGACACGTTACTGATTAGCTCTTAATTTATCTTGTCTTGTGCTGATTGGCTGTTAATTATATCTTGTCTTGTGTTGATTTGCTGTTATTTGTATCTTGTCTTGTGCCGATTGGCTGTTAATCCTGTCTTTAGCGACTTTAATGGTTTAAAGCGAAATGACTTTGATGACATCATCACAAGGCAATTATTTCAAAAATTGTGTCACAAAATGACACATTACATTCTAATAAAGTTAAAGTTCACAACATATTTTAAGTCAATACAACTGTCAATGGTTACTGCATTTTTTAGTGGCTTTCTCTATTGTTGTATCACGTGTGTAGAAGTTATTGATTTTATGATTAAAATTTTTTGGGTCTTCCTAAAAGGTGATGAGACTTAATTAATAATTTGTTACCTGACTTTCGTAAAATATGAAATTATACATAAAAAGTTAGATTATTCATTTCTGACCAGTGTGTGAAAGTTTAAGCTAATAAAATTAACTGTGGAGTCTGCAAATTTTTGTTGTTAAAATATCGCGAGCTGTGAATTCATCATACCATTGCAAGTAATGGTGGCCATGGATCAGAAATTTTAATAAATTTTAAACCTTTGTAAGATCACACACAAAAACAAATTTGAATTCACTAGCCATTTTATTATTTATTTTTAAATTCTTATGGCTTTACATGATCCATGGAGATTATTATTAAGCAACTTTACACGACGACTCAGCTGGTCGGAATCAATGATATGGTGACCCAAAGGAACAAGCTATTCCTATAATGCCACAAAGACGATTCTATACATTAAGATGCATTTAAAGACTTCCTAAATTTGCAGTAAATTCAGATTTTAATTTGGATGTTTTAAACAATGCTTGAGTGGCACCATGCAGCCAGGTTATCTCCAGTGTCGAACTGGCTAAATAAAAAGTTGTTGCCTGGAGACGTGTAGTATATATAGTCAGTCTAACATGTGAGGGAATTCCCTTTTGCATTATATTAATGACTTTTAATTAATTTAGATTATTGACTTTAAAATAAATTATTTGGCGGCATTTTGTATCATTAACTGGGTCTGATAATTTAATGTTAAAGCAATAGTACAACCTATTGGTTCCATATTACTGGACACACCTCCTTCACTCCACCCAGAAAAAAAAGTTACATTATTTGCTTCTTATTTATTATATTAATTAACAGCCATTATGACAATTAATTTGACCACATGAGACCATTTTTATATGATCTTTTTTTATTATTCTTTTAGATCTCGCTGCCACAAACATGGCGATATATGGTTGCTAAAACTTTTTCTCCAAACAAAAAAAGTTACAGAGATGTTTGTTCTGGGGCAAATTTTTTAAAGTTCTGTAAAGTTTTTTTTCTTCCTATTTTCCAATTAAATGTATACTGAGACACTCAGTCATTAATATCTCGGTCTAGCATTGACATACAGATTTGAATTCGGTACCATTGATTGCATTTTGCAAGACCTATTCCAAATATATTAGATGCATTGTTGACAAACTTTTTTTTTGGAGTTATTTATTAATCTTCCTAGTAAAATGTGTGCACCATATTATATTGCTCATTGATTAATAAGCTGTTTTTATTTCTGTCTGGTTGACCCATTGGTAAATTGCTGTATACATGTTGAGAATTTATGGAAGTCATGCAAGGGATATTAAAAGTTATGATGTGAATTCGATAAAAAGCTGTATCCGCTCTCTATTTTTCTTAATTGTTCTTTTTTTTTTTTTTAGTGTGTGTGGCTTTTTCTTTGTGCTCACTGTTAACTCGGACAGATTCTCTTTCAGAGCTGCTTCAACTGACAGTGTAATGCAGTTCAGTATTTCTTCTTCTTAATATCCATGCCACTAGCCGTGGTCATCATGTGTGTCCACAGCCTTCTGTTTGTGTACTGACAATCATTTCTATATTTGTCTATGCCGTGGCCCCTAACTGTTTAACATTTTCTCTGTTGATTGCCTCCTGCCTCCCTTTTCTCATTTTGTTTAGCATGAGGAAATTACATGTGAATTTCTTAGACCAATATATATATATACACTTGATCTTCCTTGTATTCCCTTGATGATTTCAGGCCCCATTATAGAGAGGAGAAGGGAGGGGAACGAGTGTCACAAAAAGGCGACCAATTAGGGGTTTCTGCTGAAACTGGAGTGTTGAGCCAAAAGAAGCAGATATCACAGTCTAGCTGTTGAACCACTTCTCTGAAAGCATCCTCCATGTCAATGCAGTAATAGTGATTCTGAAATTGTTCAGCACTTTATTTTTCCTTACAGTTCTTAAAATTGAGTTCAGAATGGAATCGTCGCATCCGTTCCATGGAAGGCCAGTCAAAAGACAGCATTCACAAATTAGAGATGAGTCGAGAAACTCTGCAACTGAAGGAGCGTGAGTGTCGAAGGCTGGAAGCAGAAATGAAGAACAACCAGCAACGTCTGAGGGATCAGGAGAGGGAAATCCTCAAACTGAAGGCAGTAGAACATGAATACAACCAGTTGAAGGTGGGTACTGGGTGTAGGGTGACAGAATGACAGCTAAACATATTTGTAGGTGAAGTGAAAATGATGCCCGGTAATGCGTGTTTGAACACAATTGTATAGCAGTATGTGTGATTGAGTATGAAGACCAGGTTTGTCAAAATGAAGTCTATATGGGTCAGATTTGTGTTGTCATTATGGACACACTCGACAAAACTACTTGGAGTCATTCTTTAAAAAATGAGAATATTTTTTTCTCTGTGCAGGCCACAGGTGTGCTTGCAAAGGGCCACATGCAGCCCTCGGATCGCCCGTTTGACATGCGTGTTTTAGCTTCAGTTCCCAGCAGAGGCAATAATTTGTCTCTGACCAGTACGACTCTGTTGGATCAATCACAGTTCTCAGCAGAGGCAATAACTTGTTTCTGACCAGTACGGCTCTGTTGGATCAATCACAGTTCTCAGCAGAGGCAATAACATGTTTCTGACCAGTACGGCTCTGTTGGATCAATCACAGTTCTCAGCAGAGGCAATAACTTGTTTCTGACCAGTACGGCTCTGTTGGATCAATCACAGTTCTCAGCAGAGGCAATAACTTGTTTCTGACCAGTACGGCTCTGTTGGATCAATCACAGTTCTCAGCAAAGGCAATAACTTGTTTCTGACCAGTACGGCTCTGTTGGATCAATCACAGTTCTCAGCAAAGGCAATAACTTGTTTTTGACCAGTACGGCTCTGTTGGATCAATCACAGTTCTCAGCAAAGGCAATAACTTGTTTCTGACCAGTACGGCTCTGTTGGATCAATCAGTTTGTCCCTTCCAGGCTGTTACATTAAGGTTTAATGTACCATCCTGACATTTAAAAATCCCAGTCTGGATGACAGACCAACAAGATAGAGCCCAGATACCATGTTCAACCTTCAAGAGGTTATAATTAGGGCACCCTTAATGGCTACACCAGTCAGGTGTAACCTAACCTATGTGGGTAGGTGTACAGCACTCTGGTTGACTCAGCCTTATAACGAGGGAGCCAGACAGTTTTAATAGTTATCTGGAAATTGTCTGGGAAGCAACGGTGGTGGAAAGCAATGGCTACACTGCCCTTTATGTCACGGTCTTCACACCTCAGCAGAGGAAACTTGTGTGGGACTAATTGAAATAAAAAAGAAGTCAAGTCACTGATGAATTTGCAAGCATTTTCTATGCTTTTATATTAAGCTTCTTTGTGCTCATGGCTTGACCCAGCCTTAAACCTATGAAGGTTTGCCTTGGAAGGTAAAGTTGATTGACATGATGTTGACTGCATCTAAAACCAAATGACAATTGGTTGTAACAAATATTTATTTTGAACCATATGTCTGTTCTTAAGGGGGTCCTATCCTTTCATAAAAATGTTTTCCACTTGCATCTAAAACCAACTGAGCCAATTGGTATGTAAACAAATATTTGATCTTGAACCATATGTCTAGCCCTATATGACCAATTCATTTGAAGGCATGGAGGACCACAGATGCATCTGGGTTTCATAAACCACTCAGAATCCACAGAGCATCTACAGGTGTACTTGGTCTCTTAATCACTCATCATTCACAGAGCACCTACAGATGTACCATGGTCTCTTGAATCACCCATTATTCACAGAGCACCTACAGATGTACCATGGTCTCTTGAATCACCCATTATTCACAGAGCACCTACAGATTTACCATGGTCTCTTGAATCACCCATTATCCACAGAGCACCTACAGGTTTATCATGGTATCTTGAATCACCCATCATCCACAGAGCACCTACAGAGTACCATGGTCTCTTGAATCACCCAGCAGTCACAGAGCACCTACAGGTGTACCATGGTCTCTTGAATCACCCAGCAGTCACAGAGCACCTACAGGTGTACCATGGTCTCTTGAATCACCCAGCAGTCACAGAGCACCTACAGGTGTACCATGGTCTCTTGAATCACCCATTATCCACAGAGCACCTACAGGTGTATCATGGTCTCTTGAATCACCCATCATTCACAGAGCACTCACAGGTATATCATGGTCTCTTAATTCACCCAGCAATCACAAAAGTGTATCAGGTTCTTATGAATGGCTAAGCATTTACCCATTCACAAAGGTACATCAGGATTCCATAAATTACCCACTAGTCACAAAACATCCATTTGTACTTTAGGGTTTAAATGTTTAAAAAAGCTGTGGTACAAAATGCTGTCAAAATAAAAATCAGTAGGTTCACTGCTCCATTAATTACTTATTGATAATAATTTTCAGTTCACTTATACAATAGAAAGGATATTTCCTTAACCTTGGTTCATTCAGTTAAATAACTGACTTGTTTATTCTAACTTCAGGAGAAGCTGGATGACAGAGAACATGAGTTGTCCAGCCTCAAGTCTGAAATGAAAGAGAAAGATCACCTTATTAAAAAACTGAAAGAAGATTACGAGCGACAGCTGGAGGATCTTGACCGCGAGTACACACAGGAAAGAGATGATTTTGAGAACCACGTGGAACAGCTGAAGTCACAGCTGTTCTCAGCTCACGATAGACAGGTTTCCCTCACAGATAATATGACCTCTGACCTGGCTACAATGTTGAAAGAGAAGGATGATATCATAGCACAGTTAGAGGAGAAGGTAAATAGCCTGTCATGGTTTCTTGAACGGTTCCTCAGCGTAAATTGCTCATTTACATTGATAGGTCAGAGCAGTATAGAGGGTATCAGAGACAACCAGCTGCACACATGTCATGACTATAACTGACTCAAGAAGCATGTTAAGAACAATGATGACAGGTATGCTCCATGCAGAGTGGCAAGCATCGCTTTAGAGTTCCCAAGTAGTTAGCGTTTTTTTTCCAGGGGTATGCAGGCGTGTTGAAAAATTAACAGCATGATAGACTGCCAGTTCTGCACCAATGGGTTATACATTTTTGCATGTGGTCAAGGCCCAATAGGAGCATGCAAACATTTTGGAGATGTGAATTGATCATTATGGTCTGGATAGAATGGTACAGCTGGGAGTAACCAGGAGATCTAGTCAACACTCTGCAGTCCTAGGAAAGGCAAGACGGACATATAATCAAACTGCTGCTGGGGCACTATCACGTTTGAACTCTTTGCTTGCTGCTGAAGATGAAGACGGGAGGACTTATGGGAATGTCCTGAGTACTGTGATGTCAGTTCTTAGCTCAGTACCTAACGGTGTGGACTAGACTGTTACATCTCTGTACCTGTTTTACCAGTTCACCTGATGTCCCATCTCTCTCCCTGATTCACCAGGTCACCTGATGTCCTATCTCTTTACTTGATTTATCAGTTCACCTGATGTCCGATCTCTATACCTGATTGACCAGTTCACCTGATGTCCGATCTCTATACCTGATTTACCAGTTCACCTGATGTCCGATCTCTATACCTGATTGACCAGTTCACCTGATGTCCCATCTCTCTCCCTGATTTACCAGTTCACCTGATGTCCCATCTCTCTCCCTGATTGACCAGTTCACCTGATGTCCCATCTCTCTCCCTGATTGAACAGTTCACTTGATGTCTGATCTCTATACCTGATTGAGCAGTTCATCTGATGTCTCATCTCTCTCCCTGATTGACCAGTCACCTGATGTCTCATCTCTGTACCTGATTGACCAGTTTACCTGATGTCTCATCTCTGTACCTGACTGACCAGTTTAACTGATGTCCCATCCCTGTACCTAATTTACCAGTTCACCTGATGTACTATCACTTTACCTGATTTGCCAGTCCACTTAATATTACAGGCATTGCAGAACCGACCCCAGCATTTTTTTGAGTGTGTTGTGGTTTTTCTAGGCAGATTTCTGTCTAGTAGTTTGCCATTGCTTTCTGGACGGTCAGCTTCTCGATACCACTGTGGAAGCTAACTCAAGGTGCAAGGCCCACATCTGGAATCGAACCCGCACCCTGGGATTACGAAGCTCAGTCGCAACGCCTAAGCCACAGATGCCGACTCAATATACATCTGTTTATTGATTCACCGATATACCAGGCATGCTGTGGGCCTCTTTTCAGTGTCAGATTATCCTAACATGTATGCCTATATTTTTTATTTTTAAGTCAAGAAATTATGCTGTGTACATGACTATTATCTTGCTTGGCACAAGTTTTCACTGGCTTAGCTAATGTTTTACATGGACACCTGCATAACTCATTACCTTATCATTTTACAACATGCTGAGTAGTGTTTACAACCATGTTCCTCCACAAACAAACATCTATCTCCTGTGTACTTGATAAGTTTGACCAGTAATTATTGTCTGTACCTCTCTGTCAAATTATCAAACATCTCTGTTGACCTCTGTCTCTAATTAATGCCTCAACTCTTTCAGTGCCAAGCAATTCAGCAAACATTTCTTTGGCATTCTAAGTATAATGTCATGTTCTTGATGTTTTCTGTCACAAATAGATGTCTCATGTATCTACATTACAATTGTAACCATTTCTGTTTCATTGTCTGTTGTATTTCATTACATCTAAGTTTTTATTACTTGTATGCTGAACTCCTCGTTATAGGAGAGTTTAAAGCTTAGAACTAAAAGATTTAATTCCTGTCATTTGTCATTACTTTTTCTGGATCCTTTCATGGCATAGGCAAACAAACTATAGCTGTCTTATCTTGATGTGGTCAACTAAAAATCTTTGCAAGTTGCAACACTTGGATCTGGCCTTCACAAGTGACACAAGAAATAATGCATTAGAGAGCCTTTATATGAGCCTGTATGTCTATTAGCATGTTTTTAATACATTGAACCCTGTTAACTCCAGGTGGAACGTACACTTAGGTGAATCTAATAATCCAGTATTATCCTCTCTAGGTCATTGAAGCTGACAAAAAGCTTGTGGAGTTGTCCAATGAGTTGCACTTAGAGATGGGTGAAAATGCTGATCTGGCTCACACCATCGAGATGTTGCAAAATGAAAAACTCCAACTGATTGCCACAGCTGAAGAATTTGAAAACCAGCTGATGTCCCTGAAGACAACGGTTTCTGGCCTTGAGTCTGACAACTTTGCTCTTCGGAAACAAATGGAGGAGCTTCGCAAAAGCAACAAGCTTTTATCCGATAGTCTGAATGCTGTGAAAATTGGTAAAGATGTTGGGGCAGCACCAGTGGCGCGCAGTGATGATGATAGAGAGAGACTCAACAAGACTATCTTGGAGTTGAACAAACAGATCAAAGACTTGCAGGTATAGTAGATTGTTGTGTGTTACCGTATAGTTCTGTTGTTGCTTGCAGTGTCTACTTCTTCTGGCTTTCATTTCCTACGCTACCTTCATACATACGTGAAGCATTCTGCTCCACAAGCCGCAATGTCATTTATGCCATCAACTACAAACGATGTGGCATGAAACACATCGGTGAAACTGATCTCAACTGGCTGACAGGTTCAGACAACATCTTTTGGATGTGCAGAACGGTGCTTTGAAACCAGTACCATTGCACTTCAGTTCCCAGGATCACCAAGGTGTTCATGACATGGAGGTGACAGCTATCGAATCTAGCCACTCTAGCGACAAAGTCCGCAAGTCTTCTGAAAATCGCTTTATTTTCACTTTAACACCTAGAGGACTGAACTGCCTACACAGTTTCATCTAAATCCTCCAGTTATGGCCCCTGGAATCCCCTGGGGGTATTTATTCTCCTGTCCCATGTATCTCTTCATTGCAGTTGATATAAGGATTATTTGCCGTCCTTTTTAGGATGACATTTTTCGTTATTTGAAGACCCACCCTGGCTCTTGCCAAGGGCCGCAATATAGCCAGGCCATAAATATGGCCAATTGGCTGAACACGGTTTCTGAGACCTCTCCATGGTGAACCTCATCCACATGGTGTCATTGGGTGTTTATCGCTTGTGTAATGTCCTTGTGGAAAGTCAGTCAATCAGAATCTCGTCAGTCTGCTGACAAGACATCGACCTGGCTGCTTTGAGATACTAAGCTAAATGATTTTGTGTGGTGTTGTTTTATTTATGTATGTGCTGCATAGCCGCAACGTTCACATTTTCTTTGTTTTCGTTAAATTGTGAAGTTTGCTGTTATACTTTTCATTCGGTTTTTTATCTTCTCTTGATAGAAAAGTATAAGTCAGCTCACACAATGCTTTTTTTTAAAAAAACTTTTTTAATTAATGTTTTTTGTTGTTGAAGTTTGTAAAAGTAAAGGCAGCCCTTGAGGTCTGAAGTGTTAAGCCTTAACAGATTCTAGGCCACAACATACAAGGTGGGACGGCCAGTTCCCTTTCCTTGTAGACTTACATTCCCTGATAAGTCCCACACAATTCTGTAAACTGTCTGCTTCTATGTTTGGTGCGCTGGTAGGAGAACATCTGTGTATATTTTGGGACTATTTTTCGTTTCATTAGGTGCCTATCACGTAGGCCGCATTTACTCTCCAGGACTTTATCTGGTACTCATTTTAGGCTGGGTTGAATTGGGAGCCAAGGTCAGTTTAAAAAAGAATCTGGTTCAATGAGGATTTAAACTTATAAAATTATTTTACTTTTAGCTGAAGTAAAAATGCGTTAGTAAATGTTATACTGTGAATTTTGGTATAAACAGTCATTTAGTTAAAAGTGTGTTTGAGTTATGTGTTCTGCTGTCATCATGGCATCCTGAACATGTCCATATGTGCTTAGATTCCTCCCTCAGCATATACATCAGTGTGGGTAATAGTACCAGTCCTCTGCTGCTGTGTGCCTGACAAAACTCCACTTTTAGGAACTGTTTTTCTAGTGTTAAATGTTTATGTGTAAAGCTCTATTTACTCACTGGCTTTTTTCCTTGATTCATCAGTTGATTTATTAACTTTCTTGCACTTCTTTTCTTCTGATTTTTTTTCAGTGCTTACTTTTTAAAAATCTGTCGGCACAGTGTGTTGTGCTTTACAGCTAGGCTGCCAAAAAAATCCTTTATTTATTTAAATGTTATATTTTATATTATTTTAAAGATTAAATCCTAAAACTGGTTTGTTGTTGTTGTAAATAGTACGTTTCGATTTTGTAATTTGTCTTTGTACCTGGGGAGCATGATGTGATTATTTTTTATCTTTCCCTTTTTAGGTCTGACTCTTTTGATATTAATTTATAAAGTGTGTTAGTCGACAGGTCATCCTGAGCACATTGAACCATTCAGTCCCTAAGTGCTTGGATTTCCTTCTCAGTGTATCCCTTAGTATGCAGCAGCGGTACTTATTATGTTTCTCTCCACTGCCTGCAAACTCAAAGTACTATAGACCGTAGGAGAGGGAACTTGAAACCATAGGTTCAGTCAGAGCCTGGTTTGGTTGATTCCCAGAGTTGAATAAATACTAGGGCTTTGAATCTCAAACAGAATCTACTTGCCTTTTATAATGAGTGTGTATAGTAAACCCATTTTTGTTGATGTTGGCAGGTACAACTAGACAAGGCTGAAGGTGGAGTTCACAAAAAGAGCACTGTGGGGAATGGTGAGTTCCAACAAGATCTCCTTCACACCATTCTTATGGTCGACTCAGACCTGAAGGAAGTGAACATCATGTTACAGCAACTGCGCCACAACTTTGACAATTACATTGGTTCACTGGATGAAGAGAACCAGGATATGGCCATCAAGCTGGCAGATCTTGTGGAGGACATTGGACAGAGATGTCATGCCATACAAGATAAGCTGCATGAAGCACCTGAAGTGAGCATGTCTCCCAGTGAGTCTGAATTCAGGCATGAGATCACAGTCAGTGCAGATTCTAACAGCAACACCGTCATGGAAGAATACAAAAGTTTGAAGGTAAAATTTGATCGTGCTGTGGCTGAACTTAAACAAGCAAAAAAGGCTCTTAAAGACATGAACAGTGTTGAAGACTCTGTCAGAATTGAAAACCTCAAGTTAAAAGATAAACTGACCACTTTGGAAGGCTCCTGTAAGCAGCAGATTATTGAGTTGGTGGCCCGAGTAGATGAACTTAGTGCTAAACTTAGCGGCAGTCAGCCTGGTTATATACAAGAGAGATTGTTATCTTCATTGTCTGACAGTTTGCTTGATACTGTTAAAGAAACTGAGAAACAGCTTATTGAACTTGGGAAGAAGATTTCATTACTGGAGCAACAAGCTACAAACCAACAGCCATCCAACATAGTTTCTTCTTCAAGAGCAGCCACTGATCCAGGCAGCACGTTGGTTAAACTACAGGACATTAAAAACCAGTTAGAAGATACAAGTTTGAAAATAACTAACCTCCTCCATTCACTCCCCCAGTCCCCTGGTTTGATAACCAGTTCTGCACTGCAAGCTAAAGTGAAATCATACAAGAATAAAGTAGAATCTCTCATCACCAAAACACAGCTGTCAGATAGTCACCCGTACACTGCACATGAAAACACCAGTCAGATATCTGTTGATGCTGCAGCAGCAGGTTTCAGTGACTATCTCCAGGAGATACGCAGACGAGTGTTGGAGATTGGAGAGCAGCTTGATTCTTTAGATGAGGACGATGAAGATTCAGATGATGAGGATGAAGGAGAACAGACAACTGTTGAAGAGATTCGGGGAAAACTGGCTGAATTAACTGAGTCTATAGAACAGCATTCCAGCTTAACCACTTCTGACTGGGCTTTGCTAAGACTGATGAGTCTGCAGAAAGCTAGTGTCAAAGCTGCACATGAGTGTGTGGAGTCTGTTCAAGAGGACAGTGTCACTGATGAAGACAAGTTGAAGTTGTATGCTGACAAACTGTCACTGGAAGCTGTGATTTTATCAGAAATGGCTAGTATTCTTCAAACAAGAAACTTCCTGCTGCCAGAAGATATATTGAGTAGAGAAATTGATTCTCTCAACAGTAAAATTCTTCGTCTTCATCAGTGCCTGGACAGTGAGATCAAAACTATGCACTTTGACGATCCACAGGCTGACCTTCTATCATCTTATGTTGAGCTGATGGCTGAGAAGCTACTGGTAAATGGCCATTTGTGTAGTGCTACTTCTGAAAAGACACACATTGTCATCGATTCTTCTTCATCCTTACAACCAGTGTTGCTAGCAACAGAAACCCTGGTACGATCTCAGATCGATTCATTCATCAGTAACAACATGGACAGAACTGCCAATGAAATCCTGACTCTTCCGACCCACCTGACAGCAAGGACTATAGTTCAGGGAGAGTTGACCTACTGTTTGAATCAGCTCAAAAGTAAGCTGGAGTTGAATCCAGAGGTACTGACACCAGGGCCTGCAAACTATCAGTTCATGTTTGACAGGTTGACACACAGGCAAAGAACAGTTTTGGATACTTTAGAATGTTACTGCAGTCAAATCATTCATTCTTTAGCTGTGATTATTTTCAAAGAAAGTGAGGAAATGACAATTGTTGAGGGGCCAGAGAGTGTTCTTGAGGCCATGTGCTCAGAAATATCTACTGTCATAGAAAAGCACATACAGAATTATAAGGAGAAGTATCGTACAGCAATGGATACTCATTCTGCTCGGAAATATGATATCATTGTTGATGAGTTGCGTAGTTCCAGAGAAGCTGTTCTTTCCCAGATCAAAGCTCAGCATGAGACTTACGCGAAAGATCCAGCATCTGCTAGAGACTCAAGTCTGGACATTCCAGTGCAGTCACTGGACAGTACTATTAATAACTTTGGAGAGATTATAGCTCTGAAATCAGTTGTGGTTGCAACTACAAATTTCCTTGCAGAACTGCTGAAAATGGGAAGTGCTGTGTTAACAGATCTAACCCTGGATCAGGATATGTCGAGTGAGGATGGAAGTGGTTTAGAGAAAGGTGTTTCCAACTTTGTCAGTGCTTTGTCTAATGCTTTGCATAGTGAGGCTGTGTCAAAAGAGCGCTTGGCAAGGAAAATGAGTGCAGACCATTGTGGTAATGAAGATAGTCAGCAGTTGTCAGACAGCATTGAAAGCATTGTGCTTCATGTTCCCAACCTGTCTCATCACACCAGCCATCTGCCGGGACGAATGGAAGTCATCATTAGAGAAGCTGTCCTTAACGCACAGCTGACTTTCTCATTGTTCAAACAGAAACTATTACATGATCATGAAGTTAGCCACCTGAAAGCCAGACGCCCAGTCAGAACACGGCCAGAGTTGAGTGCTGAGGAAAGCAGGGACTCGGATGATACATTAGATTTACAAACAGATTTTCAGGTAAGATTTTCATCAACATTTACACACCTGTTATAGTGTATCATGTGTAGATCACTGACAGGTCAGTAATGCAGACAAGGAAGAGGTGCTCTTTATATTTTCTCAACAAGTGTGTGGTCAGTTTATTAATTGTACCATCATTGGTCTTAAAGGGAGGCATGCAAACAAGTCGATAGGGCTTGTACTGAGGCCTGTTGCCTCATTACCGTTTCAGCTGGACTTTTTTTTTTTTTTTTTTAAGATTTTCTTCAGCACTTTAAGAAAGTGTCTTTTGTTTGTAGTGTTGTTTACTTTAATGACACAAATTGTTGTACTTTTTTAGGCAACATTTTTCAGTATTAACATGGTCGTTGTTTTCTGTATAATGAGACATTCAATCTAGTTCAATTTCATCTGTTTACTTAGTGGTCTGTGTTTGATTAACGCAGGTAGATAAGTTGTTGAAATTATTGTCTTTGTTATAATAATTTCTCACAGCATTGCCACCCATTTCTAAGGGTGCCTTTAAAGTTTCATTGTCTTGATGAGATACTGTGCTTTTACTGTCCTCACTTTCGGTAAACTCTTAATTATCACTCTTTACGATGTGCTTATTAAGAGGCGGCATACCTATTCTTTCCCCTGCTCTCCGCATTCCCAATGGGGTCCCAGAATCCATATGGGCAGCTGATTTTTGTGTGTGTTTTGTTTTGTGTGTGTTGTTTTTTCTTCTTCTTTGTTTGTCAGTGTGATGTGATTGCATTGTGCCTGTTTACAGCATGGCCACGATATTTGTGCCTTTCCGCCGCCAACACATCCAACTTCTTCAGGCATTATTCAATGGATTAGCTTTCCTGGTTGGTTTCGTAGGATGTGACGTAGCCTTATCTGTGTGGTGTCCTCTTTGTCCCTATCTACAGGTGTTGGTGTTGCCCCTGGACAGCCCATCCTGGGAAACCATATGTAGAGTGCTCGGCCTTCAAGGGAAAGCTGGGCAGATAAGGACATTTCCCACCATCTAGTGGGGCTTCCATAAATACAAAGCCAACACATGACCCTCTTGGTCCTGGACTCACCCAGGGAATCATCACGACCTACACATGACTGCTTAAGCTGATTTCCTTATGTTGAGCTCCCATTTATCACGGGCTGCAGGTTCTAGAGATAATCAGGCAGTCCACAGGTCCGGGACTTTGATGACCACACAAATAGGCACAGTCTTCTTCAGCACATTAGACACCATTAACCTTGTGCATCCGGATGCTTAGCATGACAGGATAGGAAAAATATGTTTCAGGCATGGCTTCCTCAAATGGTCTCAAAACTCGGATGAGCGGGGCCAATGGTAGCGAACATCTGAACTTTGTCTATCACACAGTTGAGTTAAGTCAAGAATTGACGTCACAGACCTCAAGGCATTCTCATGTGTGCTCCGTCCTCATCTTCAGCAGCCATCGCAGAGTTCCAGTACTGATGGTACCAGTCACAGTACTGATGGTACCAGTCACAAACTGGGTTATATGTCCGTCTTGCCTTTCCTTTGAGTGTAATGAGCCGACTAGACCCTCTGGTTACAACCAGGTGTCTCATTCTTTCCAGGCCAAAATAATTTTGTTTCTCTACTGATTCCGTTGCTTGTTCCCAAAGGGCCTTGACCACATCTGCCTTGTCATGTATCAATCATTTAACCACCTAGTGGTGCAGATCCAGCCAGTCTGTCTGCCTGTTCATTACCCACTACGCCGGCATAGCCTGGAGAAAAGATCCAAAGTATGCACGTGACATTTCCAGTGAAGCTTACCACTGTGCTCGAAGCATCCCTGTCTTCACCTTTCTCAGCAAGCCTTCAGAGTCTGTTACAATTATAACATGTGTAGGCATCTTGTTCTCTAGCAACCGGAGAGCTGCAGTTACCGCTTCCACCTCCATTCTCATGCTAGATGTTGTGATGTCATTTGCTAGGCTGTCTTGAACTAAAGATTTTCCATTGGCTTTCGCTACGAACCCCCTGGCACTTCTCTTTCCTCTCAACAACGAACCATCTCTGTCTGTCTGTCACACAGTATGACATTTGACTATCAGAAATCTGAATCTTGCCTGTCACACAGTAAGGCATTTGATGATCGGACATCTAAAACTGCTTTTGAGCCATAGGACTGAACTGTGTGATACTGTCAGCCACAGAAAATGCTTGTCTAAGATATGAATAATTCTTCTGGTCTAGGGCTGAGTCTCAGCAGGTCGCAGCAAGGTGGCTGCTCAGTTGATTACCACACCTTGACATCTGACTGACAGATATCTAAACCTTTATTGTTATAACCTTTATTGCCTAATCAGCAGTTTAGTAGAACTTTCGGTCAGCAGATGTTTAAACCAAGATTTTTCGTATAGTAGGAAATTGGTCCAGAGGGCTTCACTCATGTTCCAAGTGAGTTTTTGGTGTACGTAATCACGATACATTGGGGGTGGGCTGTTATAAGTGTTGCTGCTTGTTTTCTTATTGTGATCTGTTTTATGGATGTTAAGGAGTGTGTTTAACCTAAGCATTTGTCTCTTGGGGAATTATATATTTCCATAATAAGTGAACGGTTATCATGTTTACACCTAAGCCTATGCTAAGAGACAGGAAACATTTGGCTGTATCTTGTTTAATGGTATTGATTCTAGTCAATCCATCCTGACAGTTCCACAGTTTAATGATAGTTTTGCCTGTGTTATTCTAATGGTAATTAGTACAGGGCAATGATTTCTGCCTACATCCTCTATGAATGATTCCGCCTTGTGAAGGGAAGTTTCACAAAGAAATTAAGAGTGATATATTATGCTTGCTTATCTTGTGTGCCTCATTCACATTTCCATAGTTAAGCTTTTCCTGTGGCTGACATGTACTATATTCTTTGCTTTCATGATTCCTCTCAGCATTTCCATTGGGTCTCAGTAGTTTCATCAACATCCTGTTGCCAAATTGACATGTTGAGAAAACCTGAGAACAATATAACTAGAAAATCTGTTTACTGGAACCCACAAGGGCATAGAAATAAAGGCAGACCAAAAATCACTTGGAGTAGGGAGCTAGAGAGTGAAGTTAAAAAGATAGGGCGGACATGGAATGAGCTGCAGGCCATAGCAAAGGATAGAATGACTTGGCTTGAGTTGGTTGAGGGTCTATGCTCCACTGGGGGATAGAAGGCAGAGGAAGAGGAAGTGTTGGGTGGCATTGGGTTTTCTCAGCTCAGTAATTTGGTGTGGTTCAAACCGCTTTTAAGCTTGGGAGGAGTACTGTTACCATTACCTTTGGTATAGGAAAAGAATAGTCATTAAGACTGGAGGTCTGAAGATACATTTATCTGGTTAGTTGTGTTTGGTTTAGTGCTAGCTATAGCAAACTTCACTCCTCAGTGGTAATACTGCCTGTAACTCCCGAGTACCTCAAATTGTCCCACACTAGATATACCACCACATTCTTGTACACCCTCTCACTGTGTGAATTTGTTGCCATGAACACATATGTACAGGGCAGGCCATATGCTATCAAAAATAAACTAGCTTTCATAACAGTCCATGCACATTGGATCCAAGATTCTAATCAATTTCTTCTTCTTTCTCGTTCACTGGCGGAAAGTTCTGGTTGTTCGTCCACTTCTGGACTGCAGTCCTGTTTCAGAACCTGAGTGTTGCATGCGCATCCGTTTGATACATCTGATTCCTTTGTGTGCAGACTGTTGGTTCCTTGCCTCTCAGGCAGATGCACTCCGACCTCGAAGGAAGCTACCATTTAGTCGATTCCTACGACATGCTTTTGGGTAGGCAGTGGGTCTATTCTTGTTTTCCCTATAACAGGACCCTGGAACCCACACAGCGGCTATATAATTTAAAAGTGTTGCATGAGGCCCAAGATAGACCCAAAATTGTGTCCAGGTGCAGGATATGACTAGGCTGGGTGACTGTTTCCTTTGGCATTTTGCCATTTCTTTACAGCACAGTGCATATCAGTCCACACCTTTTTCACCTCATAATTTCACGCTCCCAGCTTTTCTTCTTTCCATGCTGATCTCTGCATTTGTCATCCCTTATTTTGCACACCACACCCTGTCCTGTATAGTCATACTGAAAAGTCTTGAACTTTGGCTTGTGCTTTCTACAAGTAGATTTGCTTTTCTCCACAAATATGCTGCAACAGTGCTGGTCGCTGCCATGGTAACTTAGGACATCCCATCTACACACTGAAGTCAGTGAAGGAGAAACCAGAGCCAGGTGAATAACACTGTGTTCATCTCCTGGCCGACTTGCAGTAACACAGCCACTGTTGAAACAAACTAGGATTTGTCTGTACTGAATAATACTAAATTATCACATGTAGATATGTTGATATTATGTGCATGAGAAAGAGCGAGGGAGAAAGAACAGAATGAGTGGGAAATGTATTATCCCCTGTGTTAACAAGACATTATAGTGCTGCAGCACTTGTAATAATGTTTTATGTTCATTTCACATCACAGGTTTTGCTTGTGCCGATGGAGGAGGTTCTAGAAAGCAAACATGATGATGAGGTAGAGGTGCTGCAGGTTATACTAGGCCTCATTTCACAGATGAAAGCCACTTTAGAAGCTAAAGGAAAGGACCAGTCATTGTTAGATGACCAGTTGAGGCAACTGGAGCAGAAGTTGCAGCATGAGGTTGAGTTGGCTCAGCAGAGACATGAAACACAGCTGGAAGTTTTTAAACAGGTAAATCAGTCATGAAATTCTGCTGTGAGAAATAACATAATTTAATTTGCATACAAAATGGCAGTTAGAATATTAGTTGATCTGTTGTGAATCACGCCCAGCTCCTGTCTGAGATGTTAGAAAGTATTCTTGTATTGAGGGAGAGGGGGGGGGGGGGGGGGGGAGTACACTTAGAAATAAGTAACATTAAACTATATAGAGAAGGAGCATTACTGACATAACAACTAGACTCCCACATATAAAACAAACAAGAATTTAAAAAAGAATGGAGATTGACTAATTGTTCTGACCGCCCCTTTTTCCCACTGTAACACACAAAGCACAGTCATTGACAGCTGGAAAAATTATGTTACCTTCAGTGACAGAAATACAAAGTTGTGGTAGGCATTCAGACTGACATCCTACTGCTTAGGGTGATACAATCTGTATTGAATGACTTCATTTGCTCGTTTGGTCACCACTGTCCTGACATCTGTGTCATTGGAGTATTGTTCTTTCTTGAGAGCTTAACTAATGGTCATTTGGTTATGTATCTCTTTGAAGAGAAACAGACATTCTCATGCCATAGAGGAGTAAACATATGACAGCCCCACAAGAACTACCTCTGTCCATAGCATCTCTACGTATCACAGATTAGTCATTTACATAATGATCAAACAGATGATACTTGAAAGCAAACAGAAAAGGGAAAGCCAAAGATATTTTTGGGCAAAAAATAAAAACACCTGGATATTCTTGCAGTTGTCTCTCTGGAGGATATGTGCAGTGAAAGGCCATTATTGTTAAGACTTGTGTAATGACACCTCTGCATCTGAGATTTTGAGTTGATGAAGTTGTCAGGACTAATATATGATTATTTATCATTATCATTTTGTTATAACATTTATACATCATGTAGAGCTCACTGTCGGTTCATCCATTCTTCTATCCTGTGCAGCCTTCTTTGATATGGATGGAATTCACTTCAGCGCCTTTGGCCTCTCTCTTCAGAATCCATTTTAGGCTTTCTCTTGGATGTCTTCATTTCAGCAGTAGTTTGTTTTCTGTTTCAGTTCCTGTTTGAGGATTCTCTCTCTCTATCTCTCTAACTTTTTCTTATAACTGTTGACACAGGTGGTTGTCCAGATTCTTTGCCTTTCTTGAATTCATCTCATATAATGTTCATCAGTTTCTCAGACATTTGTTTTCATTTGACTTTCATTATAATTGAGTTTATGACATTTTAATTGTTCATCATAGTTCCGTATTGTCTTTGTGATCAGTATAAAGCCTCCAGATGCCCTGCTCTTCTAAACAGTCTTTTTCTTCATTGTTCCCTGGTGGCTACAATCTTTTGATGTCTAAAAGTATTTTTGCTTCGTGTTAAAATTGTACTGGCAAAGATACCACGGCGGTACCAGTTTTTCCTGATATCAGTCCATTACAAAGTTTGACTGTCTGATGGCTGTATTTATACAACATTGCAACAGGAATCTGGCAAGCTGGTGAAGATTCTTGAGGAGCAGCAGCAGGATAGAGATCACTATGAGGATAGATGTGCCCAGTTGGAGGATGAGCTGACAACACTACAGCTTCAACACGAGGAAGAGAAGGATCGAGTCAAGCAAGATATTCTCACTGCTGTTCATGCCATTCGCAGCAATGATGAGAAGAGTGAAATGCATCTTATTGAGAAGGCAACAAAACTGAGCAAAGAGTTGGTGATGCAGAAACTGAATTGGAAGGTAAGATTATGGCTGAAATAGAAACATTTTTGTGTGTAAAGTAAAGGACCTTTTTCTTTTACGCAAGTGGCTCATCAGGCTCATCTATGGTTTTTTTTTAAATAGGTCAGTAGGTACATAAAGCTGACTGCTTTTATTTTTTTGGGGGACATTTCCTAGTATCCATTTGAACCTTTTTGCCATGAGTAGCCGCAACTTCAGCATATCCAGTAGTGGCTCAATGCCACCAATACTGCTTACCCAGCATTTCTTCTGTGGCACAACTTTTAGGAGGTCAGGGTATGAATATATTGATTAAAAACAACATTGAGGGAAAAGGTTGGGGAGGGGGGGGGGGGGGAGTCCCTGCACACCACACAAATTGCTTTTTTATAGCAATTTTAGCTTCATAATTTACACATAGCCTTAATATTATAATTCTGGCAGAAACCATATATTTACTAAAGAAAAAAGGAACTCTTAAGATGTTCATAAATATATATATTTTTTAAATGAACTAGTGATAATTAAATTTGTTTAAATGAATTGGCAACCTGTGTAAAACAGCTCCATGTGCCGTGCCAAGAAGCATTGACTGTCATGCTTCTCTCTCTCTCATGATTGCCAAAATCATGGATCAGGTCTGTGTTTTTGTAGTGCCATATCAGAGGATCAAACCATCCAGGTATTTGTCTTCCTTTTCCTATGACTAGGCCTGGCATGAGACTGGCTACCTTATGCCATAGCAAACTTGGTTGCAGAATGCCAACAGCCATAAACATGTCTATAACAGTCTTTACCTCACTTGGTTGAAAGCCTATTTTCCACTGAGAAAAGCAGCAGATGAAGGGAGGAAAAGCATTAGGTAGTTAAGTTACATTTAGAAACAACAGTATGCTTCTTTGACATTGACAGTTGTGAACTCATTTGGTTTGCTGTTGTTTGTGACATTGCAGAAAACCCTTGGAATGATCAAGAAGGAGGTCTCTAGCAAAGATAAAAGCTCACTTGTTCAACTCCTCGAGGACCACATAAGTGCTATCTCTTTGTCAGCAGACGATGAGGTTTGTTGAGAAGCATTATTGCTGTGTTGCATACGTTCGTTTTCTCAGCTGGTTTCTAGAGAGTTTCAAGCTATCATGGAACATAGACATTGATATTTTCTTTTCTTCTTCAGCATTCGGAGCCCTTGAAGCTCATTGCTGCAGATGTCACCTGACTCCATTCATCTCTGTGATGAGTCCTCTCCTTCCAGTCGGTGATTCCAAGTGTTTGCAAGTCTGCCTGTATATTATCTCTCCATCATCTTCTTAGTCTGCCTCATGGTCTACGACCATTCAGTTCCCTTGTGTACACAGTTTTTAGTCTATTAGCCCTCAGGATGCCAGGGATCATTGGTAATTGAAATAGATTGTGAATTTTGTTGTTGCTTCTCACTCTCCATTCCCCGCTGTTTACATCTTTGATGGGTCCAAAGATTTGTCATAAGACTGTTTTTAAAAATGCATAATAATATGGCTTTATATCTTTAGTTGTGCTGCAAGTTTCAGAACCATATAAAACAACTGGTCTTATCGGCATTTTATATATTTTGATCTTGGTGTTACAAGACAAAGACTTTGACTTTAGCAAATGTTATAGGGCATAATATACTTCATTGCCATATAGTATTCTAGATTGTATTTCTTCTCTTAGTATTTTGAAGCAGTTTGCACCCAAGTACTTACATGTTTATTATTGATAGATAGTTTAATGTACAATCTCTTCTCATAGGGCAGGCACAGTAGTGGAATAACTAGATGCTTCCATACCAGGCCAGAAAGACTTTGTATTTTTTTCATTCTGTAGCTGCTGTTTGGATGGTTTTAGTGTATTGCATTTGACCTATTTGTGTAAAAGTTATATATTTGGAATAGCTGTATGATATGTTACATATATATTTAATTTTGTGGTGGAAGCTGACTTTAAATGTGTGCATTACTCCAAACTGCAACATAACTGTGTTACTTTTTTCATGCTAACAGACTGATGATTATCATCCACCACTACCGGTCCAGCCGCCCCCAGATTTGCCTGATGGGAAGGAAAGTGCAGTAGTACTACATTCAGCAGATATTAAACAGGTTGGTATTGAATGTTTGGTGTGTTCCACAATTTCTGAAGTAAATTTTAGCTTAACTTCATGTATTTATAATACAGAACTGGCAGTTCAATTTTTACACAGTTGAAAGGAAAAGTTTGACCCACTTTCTGTCAAAAAATATACAGGCAAGACAGAGATCTTTGAAAGTAAGCAAAAGGATGTTGATAGATGAAAACGAATAAAGTTAGATTGAATGTTGTTTGAAAAACTTCAGGGTAATGTTCACCCTATCCTAAATTTGCTATAGAAATATTACAGATGTTTGTATTTAGTATATCAGAGCTTTATGGGGATGGGTGGCCAGTTCACTTCTTTTCTTCTGCAGTCAGGGAGAATTCTGCAGTCAGGGAGGAATCAGTATTTCTGCAGTCAAGGGAGGAATCAGCATTTCTGCAGTCAAGGGAGGAATCAGCATTTCTGCAGTCAGGGAGGAATCAGTATTTCTGCAGTCAGGGAGGAATCAGCATTTCTGCAGACAGGGAGGAATCAGTATTTCTGCAGTCAAGGGAGGAATCAGCATTTCTGCAGTCAAGGGAGAAATCAGCATTTCTGCAGTCAGGGAGGAATCAGCATTTCTGCAGTCAGGGAGGAATAGTATTTCTGCAGTCAAGGGAGGAATCAGCATTTTTGCAGTCAGGGAGGAATCAGCATTTCTGCAGACAGGGAGGAATCAGTATTTCTGCAGTCAGGGAGGAATCAGCATTTCTGCAGTCAGGGAGGAATCAGTATTTCTGCAGTCAAGGGAGGAATCAGCATTTCTGCAGTCAAGGGAGAAATCAGCATTTCTGCAGTCAGGGAGGAATCAGCATTTCTGCAGTCAGGGAGGAATAGTATTTCTGCAGTCAATGGAGGAATCAGCATTTCTGCAGTCAGGCAGGAATCAGCATTTCTGCAGTCAGGGAGGAATAGTATTTCTGCAGTCAAGGGAGGAATCAGCATTTCTGCAGTCAGGGAGGAATCAGCATTTCTGCAGTCAGGGAGGAATCAGCATTTCTGCAGTCAAGGGAGGAATCAGCATTTCTGCAGTCAGGGAGGAATCAGTATTTCTGCAGTCAAGGGAGGAATCAGTATTTCTGCAGTCAAGGGAGGAATCAGCATTTCTGCAGTCAGGGAGGAATCAGTATTTCTGCAGTCAGGGAGGAATCAGTATATCTGCAGTCAAGAGTGGAATCAACATTTCTGCAGTCAAGAAGGGAAATCAGCATTTATGCAGTCAAGGGAGGAATCAACATTTCTGCAGTCAAGAGGGGAATCCACATTTCTGCAGTCAAGAGGGGAATCCACATTTATGCAGTCAAGGGAGGAATCAGCATTTCTGCAGTCAAGAGGGAAGCAGTGTTTCTGCAATCAAGAGGGGAGTCATTATTTCTGCAGTCAAGAGGAGAGTCGTTTTTTCTGCAATCAAGAGGGGTGTTGTTATTTCTGCAATCAAGAGGAAATCAGCATTTCTGCAGCCAAGAGGGGAATTGCTATTTCTGCAGTCAAGAGGGAAATCTACATTTCTGTAATCAAGAGGGGGATCTAAATTTCTGCAATGGAGAGGGGAATAGGCATTTCTGCAATCAAGAGGGAAATCAGCATTTCTGCAGCCAAGAAGGGTGTCAGCATTTCTGCAATCAAGAGGGGGATCAGCATTTGGCAGCTTAAAGCTGCCCACTTTATCTTGACTAATCACACATATAAATTAATCTTAATCTTATTTCCTTTCTGGAGTGAAGATCACATTTTCAAAATGCTTTTTCGAGTTATTAAATTCTGTGACTAATATTACTAATATTATTTCTGTTGACCTTCATAATCTTATTTTTCTGCATCACATTCACTGGCTGTAAACTCTGCCCAAAGGTTCTGGTTGTTCATCCACCTCCAGACTCCACCTCCACCTCTTGTTTTAGAACCTCAGTGTTGTGTGCACAGCCGTTTTACAGATGTGGCTTAACAATATGCAGACTGTTGGTTCCTTTCCTCTCATACAAATGCAATCTGACTTCAAAGCCTGCCCCCAGTTAGTCGACTCCTACAACATGCTTTTTGGGCAGGCTGTGGATCTATTCCAGTTTTCTTCACAATGGGGCCCCAGAAGCCACATGGGAGCCTTCATAATCCATCTGCAGTCTGTAAGATATGTCAACTGAGAAAACATCCTTGTTCATTTTTGAAACATATCTGTTAGGTTTCCTTATGGAGTACTCTGCTTTTCATATTCTCTTATGTTGACTTGATAAAACTGATCATCTTCCATAATACCTTCCCTGAAATGATCTGATAAAGGTATTATCATGGGGTTATCATACAGTATCATTGATTTATTTGTTTTCCCAATGTAAATTTTAATGACACATACAATATAAAGCACAGTCTGGTGCTTGGCACATTTTGCTGTATCTCATCAGGTGCTTACTACATAGTTTACATCAACATATAGTTTTTGGGAGGGGGGAGGCATGTCGGTCACCATAATGCCAGCAACTTGACTGTTTGGGTTCTCCCGACTTATTAGTGGTTTTGGCCAGTCTGGCGTTTTGACCTTAGCCAAGATTTTTAGAAGCAACATGTAAGAAAACACAGTTGAATCTTGAAACTGACTTTTCATGACTTTTTGTGTACATAATATGCGTTTAGCCGTCTGACTGCTTCAGCAGATCTAAAACAGAAAAACAGACCCCTATTCGATTTAATAATAATTTGAGTTGACAATATTTAAATATAAAACCAATCACAGGAAGCACACCTAACAGGTCTTTGTTTTTCTGATACTCGTGCACATAACAGCCACCACTCCCCCCACCCCCCTTCCTTTTTAACGATCTTCCATTAGCACTTAAGTTCATTGGCACAGGAGATTTTCTACTCATGCACAAAAGCTCCGGTCCCTTAACGATCTTCCATCAGCACTAGAGTACAAAGACACGGGAGATCTTATACTAATGCACAGCAGTCCTAGTCCTCAGTGATCTTCCATCAGCACTAGAGTTCAGTAACACAGGAGATCTTATACTCGTGCACAACAGCCACCACTCCTCAACAGTCTTCCATTAGCACTAAAGTTTAGTGGCACGGGAGATCTACTAATGCACAGCAGCCCTCAATCCCTCAACAATCTTCCATTAGCACTAAAGTTTAGTGGCACGGGAGATCTACTAATGCACAGCAGCCCTCAATCCCTCAACAATCTTCCATTAGCACTAAAGTTTAGTGGCACGGGAGATCTACTAATGCACAGCAGCCCTCAATCCCTCAACAGTCTTCCATTAGCACTAAAGTTTAGTGGCACGGCAGATCTACTAATGCACAGCAGCCCTCAATCCCTCAACAATCTTCCGTCAGCACCAGAGTTCAGTGTCACCTAAGTGCTGATAATCATGCACACCAGCCCCCTCCCCCTTCCAACTAGAATACCAGTCCTAACCACTCGGTTTGTAAAAATGTGGTCGGTCAGTTCCCAGAGCCAAGCTAGTAGTTCCTCAGTTAAGGGCAGAGTCTGAAACCTTTCAGTCATATTCCACTGGTATGTTATAAAATAAATCACTGATCACTGTCTCTGTTTTCCTTCACAGCCTGCCAAGACACACATGGATCAGGTGGAACAACTTAGAAAAGAGAAAGAAGAAGCTCTGGCTGAGGAAATGAGAAACACCAAAGCAGGTATTTTTTTTTTCCACTTACATTTATGTGAATTAAAATATGGAGACAGTCACACACTGAAAATAACAAACTCATTTAATAACATTTGTTTCTCCAGTTACCAATTTTTACATCTTTATAATCACTGATTCTGTACATAATTAGTTTACACTGGTGGCTAGAAATTGTTATCCTACACCAGTGATTTAGCACTTCAGACATGCTCAAATGTACTCCATCTTTCTCAGGAGATTTTCACCATTTTCTTCTTATCCTTCAATGAAAAAGGCTCTCATTGAACTGGCCCACAACTTTTTTTTTGTCTTTTGTCGAAAATCATCTACAGCTCCCTCAGTTATTTATTTCTATCTCTGATTCTCTTTTTCATGTGTTTTATTAGGTCTCCCACTGTTCCTTTTGTCATGTGTGCCTGATTATTCTTATTTCATGATTTACTCAGATTTCTTTATTTCTCTCCATAATTCCACATTAGTGATTCTGTCTTGCTATTTTAGTCCTTCTTTTCTGCACGGCTATGTGTTAGTCCAGATCTAAAGATGATTACCAATTAAAAAAACATGTTTACAAAATTAGAACAGACAGGACACACCTTGCTTGGGGGTATCTGTCATAATGTGGTCAAGCCAAGCTGTTTGTCTCACGCTCTGAAGGTCTTGATTTGTTTTGTAGACACTTCTTCCATTTTACAGAGATCACTGTGGGTCTTCGATAAAGCTGCAGAGTTTGTGCTTTTTGTGATGCTTTTGGCAGGTAGCTTGCCGTTCTGCGGAGAGCAACTGAGTCAGATTGGCAGTGAAGTCCCAGAGCGGTGAAATTGATCCTCTCAACTTGAACACTTTGCTTGAGATCCACAAAAAAGAAAGAAAAAACTCATACACACGTACACCTTCTCTCCCCCCCCCTCCCCCCCTCCCTCTCAGGTTTAATGGTAGTGTCGAATGAAAGTCATTGTCCAAGTGAGTATAGGTATTACCAATATATTGATACACAAAAGTTGAATTAAAAAGTAAACAGTTAATTCCTTCAAAATATAATTGTGTATAATGTTTTTTTTTAGCAGTTTTATTTTGCTTGTATAACATTTATAAGTAAATGAGATATTCAGATTCTGTCTTTTACCTTTGATCCCCAAATTGAACATAGACACTTGAAGCAACTTGCGCCAGGTTGTTCTGTAATTTGCCATTGCTTACAGCTCACCCTATATCTATCTTTTTTACTTAACTGTCTGATTCTCAGCATTTTTTTTTTTTAATCTGCCTTTATTTCTTTGGCCCTGTGGGCTCCAGTGTAATGACATTCTAGTTTAATTATTATAAATTTTTTCATTTTAAATTCAGTGTAATCTTTCATTCTTTAGATGATGATTTATTTTTTGTACTTGTTATTAGCTCTTGATGCTGTTAGAACTGCTTATGAAGAAGAGCTGACAAAAGAGAAGGCTAAATATAAGGAGGCTTTGATGACCATGTATACTGAGGAGTATGTCAATGAAATTAGGCTCCGGAATCAGTAAGTATCTGCCTCTCTCTTTGTGTGGTTTCAACACTCTTAAACTATAAGTATACACCCAGGCTACATTTTGTCAAGTTGTAGTTTTAAGGTAAATTTTCTTTTCAAGAATAAAGATATGAATGGTACTGATCTTCATGACAAAAGATAGTTACCAACAATCAGTTATCTTAGCCAGAATTGTTAGCATTTAGTCATTTCAGCTTCAGTTGCTGCCAGTGACTCAACTCAGCCATGATTGCTGTGACTGACTCATGGCAGCTAAGAAAGATACCAGGAAACCAATTGTGTCAGGTTTGCTACCAGACTGGTTTGTGACCAGTCTCAGGTAGGATTGGTTCAGGTGACATCACAACCAGGACTGCTACCAGACTGGTTTGTGACCAATCTCAGGTAGGATTGGTTCAGGTGACATCACAACCTGGACTGCTACCAGACTGGCAGAATGGCTTGCAGTTAGTTGTCTCTTGAGAATTGCCAATGGAAGAAATGAATGTGAAGACAAGAGTTGAAGATCAAATATGAGACCAGATTTTGGTTGCTGAGAGACGGTCACTTTGGGAAGGTTTCATCAACTTGTTGGCATACTTAGAGGAAATTAGTTAATAAGTGGAGAGGTAAAAAATCATCGGTTGAAGCTCACTGTATGAGACCTTCCCTATGAACATATTTCAACATAACCTCAACAAGTCTGTGGAAACCTTAAAGCAAGGAATAAGGAAAGAGACTTGTAGCAGAAATTTTTTTTTTTTTTAATTTGATGAAGCATTTTCTGTTTCTAGATATTTCAGTGTAATTTGTATTTGATGATGGTTTACTTGAAGGTTTTATCTATGCAGATTATTTTTAAGTATCCTTAAGTTTTAGAAGTTGGTTATTTTATGATTTTTTTTTTTTCCCCATCTGAAGAGAGGAGGAACAGAGAATGACAGAAGAGCTGCAGAAGCTGAACATGCACTACACCAGTAAGTGTGAGGACTATAAACTGTTGGAGATGAAGCTGCAGCAGATCAAGCAAGACTATGAAAGCCACATTAGTCAACTCAGCTCCAGGTATTCCCTCACTCTAGAGTTGAACTAGTCTCTTCTTTGTCACTTAAATCAGTGATAGCATGTTTAGACTTTATATTCAAGCATCTACCCCATTTCTGATTCTTTTTCTGAGCCACTTAGATCAATGATATATCTAAACATCTCCCCCATTCCTGGTCTCTTCTTAGTCACTTAGATCAGTGATAGCATGTTCAGACTTTATATTTAAACATCTCTCCCATTGCTGGTCTTTTCTTAGCAACTTAGATCAATGATAGCATGTTTAGACTTTATATTTAAACATCTCTCCCATTGCTGGTCTTTTCTTAGCAACTTAGATCAGTGATAGCATGTTTAGACTTTATATCTAAACATCTACCCCATTGCTGGTTCTTTTCTTAGCCACTTAGATCAGTGAGAGCATGTTTAGACTTTATATCTAAACATCTACCCCATTGCTGGTTCTTTTCTTAGCCACTTAGATCAGTGAGAGCATGTTTAGACTTTATATCTAAACATCTACCCCATTGCTGATTCTTTTCTGGGCCACTTAGATCAGTAATAGCATGTTTAGACTTTATATCTAAACATCTCCGCCATTGCTGGTCTTTTCTTAGCCACTTAGATCAGTGAGAGCATGTTTAGACTTTATATTTAAACATCTCCCCCATTGCTGATTCTTTTCTGGGCCACTTAGATCAGTAATAGCATGTTTAGACTTTATATCTAAACATCTCCGCCATTGCTGGTCTTTTGTTAGTAACTTAGATCAGTGAGAGCATGTTTAGACTTTATATTTAAACATCTCCCCCATTGCTGGTCTTTTCTTAGCCACTTAGATCAGTGAGAGCATGTTTAGACTTTATATTTAAACATCTCCCCCATTGCTGATTCTTTTCTGGGCCACTTAGATCAGTAATAGCATGTTTAGACTTTATATCTAAACATCTCCGCCATTGCTGGTCTTTTGTTAGTAACTTAGATCAGTGAGAGCATGTTTAGACTTTATATTTAAACATCTCCCCCATTGCTGGTCTTTTCTTAGCCACTTAGATCAGTGAGAGCATGTTTAGACTTTATATCTAAACATCTCCGCCATTGTTGGTCTTTTCTTAGCCACTTAGATCAGTGAGAGCATGTTTAGACTTTATATCTAAACATCTCCCCCATTGCTAGCCTTTTCTTAGCCACTTAGATCAGTGAGAGCATGTTTAGACTTTATATCTAAACATCTCCGCCATTGTTGGTCTTTTCTTAGCCACTTAGATCAGTGAGAGCATGTTTAGACTTTATATCTAAACATCTCCGCCATTGTTGGTCTTTTCTTAGCCACTTAGATCAGTGAGAGCATGTTTAGACTTTATATCTAAACATCTCCCCCATTGCTAGTCTTTTCTTAGCCACTTAGATCAGTGAGAGCATGTTTAGACTTTATATCTAAACATCTCCCCCATTGCTGATTTCTTTTCTGAGCCACTTATCATTTCATTTGAGGAACCATAGCCTGTACACTATGTGGTGACTACTTAGGCAGATGTATTTATCCTGGATCCAGAGAGCCTTGCCTTTAGACACCATTGATGATACAAATATAACAATCATAGGTTTTTTAATAGTAATGTTAGTTGTTTTTTTTTTAACATTAATGTTAGTTATTTCATCTCCCCCAGTTGATTTTTACAAAGCCCATAGATTATCATTTTTTTTTTATTTAGTTGTTTCAGTTACAGACCTGAATGTTGATCAAAATTTGTATGTCTTCATAATTGACATAGTTGTATATCAACATAGTTGATAATGTCCGTTTCAACGGATGTCATCAACTGCTTACATGACAACACCTGTCAGTTTTGAGTTTATTATCATGGTTTTAGAAAAAGAATGTTGTCGTACAGAAAACAGTGGTAGTAAAAGCATTCCCTGGCATTGTTGTGTCAGCTGTAATCTCACTGTTGAATTTCAGGAATGTTGTTTCTTCAGGACAATTTATTTAACACTATTTAACACTTTATAAGGGATGGATAGCAGATTCCATGAGTCTTGCTCTGTTCAGTTATTAGTTTCTCCTGGCCTAAATATTCCTACTTATCCACACTTGTGATCTTAAACACAGTGTGCAAGGTTGGTAGTACATTTACAGAATACATAAAGTTCTTTGGAATTGTCATGATTGTTGCATCCAGACCTTGCTGACGCTACACAATGTGAAGCTTTTTTCATGTTGTAAACCGTAGATGAACAAAACTGACATCACCTGATTGAGCACCTTGTCTCTAGATTTAAGAAGCATGGATCCTGGTGAGATGGCAGCCTTCTCATTGTTTCTGTATTGATTCACTGAATATAAATGCTTATGTTTTCCTTTTTCCAGCAATAAGCATTTAGAAGAGATGCTGAATCAAGAGATTGACCGCTTGAAAGATTTCATTACCAGAAAGCCTTCCAGTGCAAGTCTGATCACAGGCTCTGCTACCATGGAGGAGGAACTTTATGATGCAAAAGTTAGTTGTGCTACCAGTGTTTGAATGTCAGTTAGGAGCACATTGTAGTGTTTGTATCTTGTGGTGTTTGTATATGTAAATTACTGTTTACAATGTAGCCAACAATTTTTCATATACTAAACCATAACTTAGTTCAAACATTGCAAATGTTTTTGAAAAATCTTATTGTATGTTCATGGTTTTTCTTCAGTATGTCACATAGTTTTCTTATGAAAATGGAAGTGACTACATTATCTGAGCATCTGAAATCCATTGTGCAAGGGTGCTGTTTGTTTTGTAAATTGCCAAGCGAACATCGACTCACAGAGGCAAACATCTTCACAGAATTATTAGGAGTGTGACTTATATAACTTTCAGGTTCCGCTAGATGGATACAGGAGTTGAAATCTTAAATAAATATCACTGGAACATCTGTGAACCTGAAATAAAAAGAAAGGTATTATGAGTAGCAGTCATACAGTGATTTCAGAGGTGTAGAATGAGTTTCAGTATTGTGATAAAATAAGAGAGGTTATCAAAAACATTCTAAAATATAACTATTCGTCTAGAGAGTGAAGTTAAAAGATCAGTTGGTTTCCTTTATTGAGCTTCCTGTTTTCTTCTTAATAGCGTTGACTGGCTATACACTCTGGTAGAAAGTTCTGATAATTTTGTCCACTTCTGGGCTTTGTTCTCATTCCAAAACTTGAGTTTTGTATGCACATCTGTTTTACAGATGTAGCTTTGTGCAGGCTGTTGGTTCCTTGCCTCTCAGGCAGACACACTTGGCCATTAAGGTAACATCCTTAATTAAACTTTTTTGTGTCATGCTTATTGGGAGGGGAGGGGGGCATTAGGTCCATTCGTTTATCCTCTAGATGGGACCCCAGAATCCACACGAGGACCTGTTAACGAGCTATGATACATGTGAGGTGGGTTGGTTTTTTTGTTTTAGATAGACAGTGTATTAATTCCTCATGGTCTGTTATGATTTTTGTAGATCATGGTAAGAGTGAAAGATGCAGAGCTGCAGAAACTAAGATCACAAGTGAAAAATCTGGAGAACAGTTTGCACAGGACAACAGAGGTATGCATAAATACGTGTCTGTTGTTGAAAGTTAAAGCTGAGGTGAATACATTGAGTTTTAATCATCATACTGTCCGGTCACCTTCTGCCAAATGTCACTCTCATCACAGCCAGCCTGAAAGACACTCAAGTGACCAACTCTGCCATCTGATGCGCTTTCCTACCCAAGGTATCACTTATATCCTGACCCATCTTTGTGCTAGCTGGTCCCTGCCTCTCTTTCCTGGCACCATTGCCTTCTGCTATTCTTTCCAGTCTGCCGTAGTGCTTGATATGGCCAGAATATTTCAGTTTCCGAGACTGGATGCTGTTTACTTGTCAACCTTACTGGATGTTCAACTCAGAAAAGGCAGCTATTTTTGTGGTGCTCTCTGGACAATAGAATTGTAAGAGCTAATGTTCCAAGCCTCACAATTATTAACAGTAACATCAAAATCCTTCGAAGTCGGCGTACAGCTGCCCAAGAGGCAGGGAAATTAAAAACGGTTGTACACGCAAAAATCAGGTCCAGGTGAAGGCCAAAAGTCCAAGCAGACGATTAACCGGGACCTTCCACTGGAATTCACAGCCGGTGTTCGATGAAAAAAAAAAAAAAAAAGTAACATCAAAAGAGAAAACAAACTGAGGTACCTGGGTATCACTTACGACAGAAAACTGTCCTATAGAGATCATATAGAGCCAGTTGCTGTGAAATGAAAAAAAGGACTCGATGCTCTCAAGATTATGGCAGCAATTGACATGGAACCAAAAATGCTGCTCACAGTGTTCCAGTATGTGATCCTGTTGGTGATAGATTATGGACTTGGAATGCTTACCATTTCAGAGAGTCAGTTGTTAAAACTCGAACGCATAATGAAGTCATGCAGGTAATTTAGGGATGTACAAGAGATACTGTGGTAGTATGTATGCAATATATACTTGCACTGCCTACTATTGCAGATATGCTCAATGTTCTGCAGGCAAAGTCATATCAGAGTAGCTGCAGACAAGAAGCACCTACTGCATAAAGCCCTTGTTAGAGCTAAGGGTTACAGGCTGCAAATGAAAGGTCTTGGATGGTGCAAGTTGAAGACACAATTGGACATGTGTGCAGCCTTGATAAATTTGAGCGAGTATAGGAGTGGGTCAAGGTGTCTGAACAAATTTGAGACCAGTGCAGGGTTCTAATCATGTTAGGTCGTGAGTGCAGAGACTGGCCAGCTGGTGCTGCAGAAGCAGAAGTTCAACAAATGATTCATGACAATTCCCACCCGAAAATTACAAAAGACAGTGAAGTTCATACTAGAGACAACATTGCAGATATAGATAATTTATTTCAAGCAAGTGAAAGAAGAAGAATAAGAATTCCCGCCAAGTGATGTGATTATCTATACAGATGGCTCCATGTTGAGGGACAGTCGAAGTGCATGTGGGTTCATAGCGGAGGCAAATGGACGTCGCTTAGTGCAGTAAAG